GATGAACATTAACATTTGGAGATAGGAGAGTCCCTTTTATAGGAGTGCTCTCTATCCCAGCTGACATGTGTGTGACGTCCATTTGGGTATGTCCCTCGTTGCTCAGGATCGGCATGCTGTGTCCCGAACAACTCATCAACCAGTGTCAGACGAGAGCTCTGATTAGTTGGATCTATACGATGTGTCGAGAGAACTTCGTTCTACGACTCTTTCTGAGTGTGATGCTCATTGGGCTGTCTTTATAGCTAAAGATGCCACTGTCATGGAATAAAGTGTCAGTAATGCCTAATGCGGTTTACTGATCTTATTCACATGATAGTTCTATTGCAAGATGCTATCAGTAATGCATAAGATGCTAACGAAGGTTAGTTTACACCTTAGGTTTCATTTTTAATCAAGCTAAAGGGTTAACCTTGTTACAAAAAAACCCTTCTAGTTCTCTATAAATGGTCCCTTAACTTTTCATTTTTAAATTTTGATTTCTACAATTCTTTGTGTTAACAGGGATGTTTAGTAATATCTCAGTTAGTTAGTGTAAGTATTAATATTGTATGGATGTGTTGTATTTGAGTAGCAATTGTATGAGGTGATATAGGCTTAAAGGCTATAAATACATAACAATAACACATATGATTGAGTCTGTTGTGTATTTTATTGATGTGATGCTATTTGGTGTGATTTGGTATTAGTAATATGTAATATTGGGAGATGTATATAAGAAAAAGGAATTAGAAATTGTGCAATACGTCTGGGAGCAGAATGTACTTCTGTTGGGAAGACGGGTCCATATTTAATAAATTTTCTATTGTAAAACTAGTGTTTCCCCAACACAAGAAAACAGAGACAAAAAAATTTGTTTAGAATCAATATATTTGTCTCGCATGTGCTCAGTAGGTATCTATCCATGTCATATGTATTTTTGTGTTCTAAAGTTCTGATAATCAGGGTTTATTTCCCGGTCTCAATACCATATCCCTCTCCCATGAGCGACTTATATGAAATTGATTCATAAATAAATTTTTGCTTCCTAATAAAAGTATATATCTACAAAATATCATCTATTATACAGGTAGTACTTGTAATACTATATATCGATCTTCGTGATTAGCGAAAAAAATTACCAATTTCTAATGCCACTACAAAATTTTGTTTTCACATTACTCAGAGATGAATTTATTCTAGAAATATTTAATATTAACCTCCAGAAGCTTGAAACACAAGGTAGATTCTTTATGTTTTGGGAACATTTGCTTACTCTATATCTAATAAATAAACTATAATTAAGAAAACTCCAAAGAAAAGGCGGGTGTTTTGCACTTATATTAGTTATTTCCTTGATAAAAAAGATAACTTATTACATGTTACAATCAATTATTGGACAATTTGTTGTCAGGGTACGTCTATAAATAGCTTAATTTACACTGTACTTATATTATAGAGTTTAAAATACCTAATACCATTAAGCTACAGAAACCTTTATAATTTTTGGTACATTAGAATATATGCAGTTCTTGGATCAGACCCACTATCACCGACTGTTAAGACATCCTCTTTCTTCAATTCAGTGATACTAACATCATCAATCCTATACCACTTATTGTTAGTCTTATGGTATACATCGGCAGTGTAATGCCCACCATCAGAACTCATACCATGATGATAAATAACACCAGATAGGCCATACTGTCTATTCTCTTCATGTTGTTTTAATGTTGGTGAAGAAACAGAGTCGGCCGGAATAATCAATTCGTGTTGGTACGCAATCTTTTTACGAATTTTTTCAATACGTCCACTATAAGCATTGTAATTAGTCATGGAATTATCCTTTTCGGTATTGTTTATGAATGAAAATCTCTTCAATTGAATCAATAAAACTTCTGGTAATTTATCAATGAAAGTTTGTTTTTTAGCCTCAACATCGCTACCACTAGATGATCTAAAAGGAATCATTTCGTACTCACTAAATTTTTTGAATGCAGATTGTAAGTCATTAACTTCTGGGTCAGAAATATCCAATTGAATTGTTTGGAATGGGTCGAGTGTAATAGATTGTGATTCTTTGTTGTTTGGGATATCTAAAACAGAACGGAATTGACCACCAAACAAATTAGAGATAGGAGATGGTGTGATTTCAACAGTTCTCTTAGCCGCAGTCTTGTTCTTCTTTCCCTTTTTACTCGTACCGCTAACTTCGTGCCAGCCATTTTCGTCATCATTATCATCAGCCTCATCGTATCTTTCAATCAAAGCGGGAAGTTGACCGGTTGCACTTTTCATGAATTGAGCATTCTTGTAGCGGCCAAGATTTCTAATAATATAAATCTTCAATTCTTCGTCGTTAATACTTTGTAAAATATTTTGAATCTCATTTTCTGTAAGGTTGTTTATAGCTGTAATTAATTCTTCGTGTAATTGATCTAACATTTGTGTCAAAAATTCTTCGGCATCTTCTTGGTGACCCCAACGTAAGTCTTTAAATTTCGGAATAGTTGACAGACTCTTGTAGAATTCATCAGGTTTGATTGCATCCGCTACTGAAGCAAAGTCAGTCTTTTCTTGTTGCGAACGCGGTGTTCCTTCCCTACTATTCTTTTTGGAATTACTTTGACCTGATACTGGAGACTCTTTACCTTTATCAAATGATTCTTTATCAAATGATGTAAACAAGTTGATACATGCATCCCACAGTTTTGTGGAACACGAGCTAACTCTAGAGTTTGGATTTCTAGTACTTAATACGTTTAAAATATCAATGAATGGTCTGCAATATAGTAACACTTGGAGCACTGAACTCATGAAACAGATATTAGCTGTGTTGATAATACCTCTTGGAATAATGGTCTTCAGAGGTAAATCATTTTCGCCGGTTGGACCGTGTTTCTTAAGAACGTAACCAACATAATCAGGATCGAAACAAGCCCTTAGAGCTATCGATCCAATTGGTTCTGCACCTTTCGTCGTTGGTGGGATATATTTCTTGTCTTTCTTAGGTCTAGTTGAAGATGCAGATATTATTGAGGTAGTTCTAGAATGCGTATGTGGGGAGGCAGTCTTACTACTACTAGCTGATTTAACTTTTGCGCCCGCAGATGATGCGATCGCAGACCAAGATTTAGGAGCTGGAGTCTCCACAGCAGGGGTTAAAGTGGCGGTTGAGTTTGTTGTAGATATTGGAGATGACGTAACTGTAGTATCGTCACTTGCTACAGAGGTAATGCTAGTTGTTGAAGTGGTACTTGCAATTTTCTTTGTTTCTTCCTCTTTCTTGTGACGGTTTTCTTTTTCCTTCTTCTTACCTTCAGAGTCCTTTGATTTCTTTTTGTTTTCTTGTGTTGTAGTTGAAACAACTTCAACTTTAGTCTCTGTAGGTGCCTCGATAGGTTTCGCTAGTTCAGGTTGTGAAGTCTGTGTCTTTTCAATAGTTTCCTTTGGGATAGAAGGTTCACTTGCTTTAGTATTTGTGGTAGTTTCCTGTGGTTCAGTGTCATCATTGACATCGTTAGATTTAACACTTAATCTTTTATTTCTTGCTTCATTAAATTCAGAAGCTGTGGTGTTAATGTATAATGGAAACTTCTTACATGTTTCTGAAATCTTTGCAACATCTAATTTAGAAACGTCAAATTTAAAAGGATCGTGATTGACAGAACTAGATCTACTATTTCTAGTTTGGCTATTGTTACTATTATTGCTACTGCTTGCAGATTGACCGTAGAAACTTTGGCTTTGATTGGGGTAGTATGGTTGAGATTTAGCAGGATTCATAGTTCCTGTAATACCTGTACTTGTACTACTGGCACCATTACTGTTGTTGCTATTGCTGCTATTGTTATTATTCCATTTCTTTTTGGAACCCATATTTCCTTGTGGTATATTAGGTTGGTACCCCATTTGGTTATGAGGTTGATTAGGGTTCATCATCTTGTAATTATAATTTGGTTGAGCATACATATATGGAGTTTGATAATTGTACATTGGAACCGGGTTCTGGTATATAGGAAATTGCATATTGACATGAGGCATTGGGGGAGGAGACGAAGTCTTTGGGTACATTGAGTACGATTCTTCTTGGTTTTCAGACCCGTTCATAACTTTAGAAATTAAAGGAAGTGTGTATTAGTTATGAAGGGCAAGGGGGTGGGTATAGTGACGCTTAAATGCGAGTGAAATAAAAATATAAGGAAGTATACAAGCTCTCCCAAACAAAGAACTATATATATAGTGTATGAAAGAAAAGGAGTTAATATTGATATATCAGATTTCTTGATAGTGGTGGCTAATAAGTTCACTTATTTATCACCTTTCTATCTAGTGATTAAAAAGGTAATCAAAATCTTTCACCTCTCAAACTTTCGTTCCACTGCGATTTTTCTTTTTTTTTTTTAGTTAAATTTCGCTGCAAGTTACCTAAAGGGAGGGTAAAAAAGGTTAAGGTTGAAGGTTAAAACCATATTCATTGTCACTGTTGATAGTTGATATTTGGACTTTGATCTATCTGACTTAACAGTATTACTGAGGTCTCTGATAACTGTTTACCTGTCGTATTGTTTTGTCTGCTTTCGTAGCTTAAAAGCCAGAGACTGCTACGGTCTTGACAATGAATAACCTTCTCAATACAGGCCACATGGTGTGATATCAATTACTCCCTTTATGTTAGTTGGTATTTTACAAAAGTAATTAGTTATATATATAGGTACGTTGACTATCAAATTTATTTAATGTTTGGTTCGTTGATTAAAATGGCAACCCCAGTTCAGTTGCATACTCTCTGCAAACAGAACCTAATAGTCTTATCCCTTCTTGTATTTCCTCTTTCTCCATGAAACTAATCGATAATCTTGCTGATCTTTTCCCCCAACCTTTGGGATCACCAATGACTTCAAAATTGGAACCATTGGCAAGGATGACATTGTGTTCAGCATTCAAACGTCTTTGAATCTCTTCCATATTGTAGTCATCCGGTAATGTAATCCAAACAAAATATCCACCATGTATGACGTCACAATCAGTCTCCTGAGGTAACCATCTCTTCACACAAGTATACAAAACCTCGCCACGCTCTTTATATGTGGATATTAAATGTCTGAGTACGTTTGTTGCGGAACCATTCTTCAGCATGGTTCCAACAATCATCGAGTTTAATTGAGATGGTGTACCGCCCGAAATATTCGCACCACCTTCTGATAGTTGATATGCGAGTTTTGGAGTGACAGTTTCATGATAACCAAATCTCAAACCAGGTGCAATCAATTTAGAGAATGTAGCGTTGGAGATAGTGTTTCCAAATGGATCATCTTCAGTAGAAGACCAAGTCTGTCTATCTAGATGAACAAATCTCTTGGGAGGTGTAGGTAAAAGTTTTGAATTCTTCGAAATATCTTGGTCATAATTCAATATATCATAAACATCATCTGCAATGATTAACATATCATACTTCCTAGCTAATTTAATTAGTCTTAATCGTGTTTCTTCGGAGTACGTGTGTCCACTTGGATTGGAATAAGTTGGTACTGTATAAATAACATATTTGTAAACTTTCTTCTTCTTATCACTCTGAGGGTTATCGATACATTCTGTAGAATCTCCACTACTTGCTTGATTCTCACATTCTTGGAGTTTCTTTTCAAGTGTAACAAAATCTATTGTATCACAACCTATTTCATCAATGGCCGTTAGTTTGCCTGAAAACCCAGCATCGATGAAACAATTATTAATTAAAAAATAGGTCGGTGATATAATAAATGCTTGTCTAGTGTAACCAGTTTGGGCCAAGGTTGATTGTAATAAGATACTCAGAATACCATACGAGGCACCTGAGTTCAAATTTAGACATTCCGGAGTAGATCTCAAGTTAGAATCTTTTGGTAATTTGAAAATATCATCATTCAAAAATGAACAGATAGTGTTCCTAACCCATAACGCACCCTGATCAGATCCATATGTTAAGGGATGTCTATTCTCTGTATCTGAGTCATAAAATCTTTTATCTGGACTTAATAAATCAGTGGTTGCATCTATAATCTCCTTGTTTGGTAATAATCTAAACGATGGATGACCCTTAAAGAAGTTCAATGAAGCAGGTGCATCCATACTCATTATGAATGAATTATTATGCAACGAAACGAAACTTTATTTAAATATTTGCCCCTCTTATGACCAAAGGTAATTTCTATATGTTGGTAGACTTTGCAATTGAAATCAACTGTATATTGAGAAATATTGGCCTTTAAATTGGTCTTATTAATTCTCTCTTGATAAAAATCTGAATCAACGCGGCAATTTGATAATTAATCATCTTCAACATCAAAGGCCAACATGGCTAGATATATCATATTTAAGGGCAAAGTAGATGTCAACTGGTTCTGTGAGTGTGGAATATCGTTATTGTTTCATTTTCTTAAATTTATTAATGTATATATTTATAGGTTATGTAATTGTTGTAAAGAATATATGCGGGAGTCCTCCAAATGTTGGAAGAGAAGCTTTGTATTTACAAATATCTCCTAGGTTATGTTATCCCCTGTAGCTGGCGTATTTGTTTCTTGTAGAGAGTCACCCAATTTTCTACTATGTTCAGTGTTGGAAATCCCTTTGTTCAGTAATCTTGAAGCCTGGGGAGTAAGCCGTAATTTCCCATTATCCAACTGAGTAGCGAATGTGACAAGTTGTGATAAGTTGTAATCGTCACCTTTTAACAATTTGAACAATATTATTAAGGAATCATCATGATTTAATTGTGGATGAGTCTCGTAAAATTTTCTAAATAGATCAAATTTGAATGTTTTAGAAAACGTCGGTTGCAACAATATCAGATTTAATAACAATGGTAAAGTAGATGGGTTCTTTATACTTATCTTCTTTTCTGTAAACAGCATCTCTAAGATGTTCTCCTCTGTCATTGAACCCTGTTGTAAATCACTAGCCAAGGCCTTAATCATATGAGGAAAATCTCTTACGTGGAATGCCGTTGTTATTGGTAAGTTATGATCAACATCCTCTAGAAATATTTTCCATTTTTCACTAAAACTTGTTGATACACCTGTTCCACTGGCAAAACTTTCAATCTTAATTCGTAAAAGCTCATATTTCCAATGTAACATAGTTTCATCATATATTTGTGAACCATATAATCTTTCGAAATATTCATATATTTGTTTTGTGACAAAGAATTTTTGGTTAGTTAACGCTAAATTACCTATTGCACATAAAATATGAGGTCGTATTATAAGAATCTGATTATTCATAACATATTTATGCCATATATAATCCACAGATTCCATATGACCCCAAAAACAACTCTCGACAAGATACAATTGTAAAAATCCGTAATCCATCTCGTTTGTTGGCATTGGTCTAATTTTAGTAAGTACACTATCGAAATTTCGATTCAAACACCCCACGTATAACTGTTTACGTACATCTTCACTCATAAATCGACGCAAAACGTCATAGCGTCGTAGTACACCAGACACCATTAAAATCACACAATCAAATTTATTCTTACCAAGTACTTTGGAACTCTCATAAAGTCGTTGCCCTACAGTTCTTACGCTTCAATTCATTACTGACCAATGACCTTTCATTTCCTTATGGTTTAATATAGATAAGTCATTTCAATATTCTTTTTTTGCCCTTTAAAAATTCCAAAAATTCGCAACTTTCTGGAGTTTCGGTCTTCGAAAATATAATTGAGAATTCCAACAATTAGAACGTCGAGAAACGAGATAGTACAACTTGAGAAAGTTAGAAAGAAAGAGGTTCGAGTGCGTTTATAGGAACTTGTAAATACCCAGATCAACACTAGCTAATATAAGTGTACCCATTTTGATTCTATTGTCTTTGCTGTGGCCTACCAGTGATACTACGATATACCCGGGATAACGTTTTTACCATTATCAATACATTGATATTCTTCTTTACAAGAAAATTGAAGTAATATTTGGAAACTACCCACTATATTATTGGCTTATATTGAAATATTATTTTCCATTATGTTTTTAAGATCTTCATTGATAAATGTCACCAAACAGGCAGGTAAAAGGTCTATTATCAGACCTACTATATTGAGTCCTTACATGTTGAGAAGAACTTCTTTGATAAACTCTATACCCAATGTTCGTTTTAAATCCACAGACACAATCGAACAATTAAATGAAATTCAAACTCAATTACCTTCTTTAGATGATATGGTAACAAGCTCATCAACCGTTGTCGAACAAGCCACTCACGCTATTGGCGAATTGTCTAATCATGTAGGGTACCTCAACAGTATCGGCCTAGCACAGACTTGGCATTGGCCAGCAGATATCATACAACATACACTTGAATATGTCCATGTATATACTGGTTTGCCATGGTGGGGTACCATCTGTACAGTAACGTTATTGGTCCGTTTGGCAATGTTCCCACTTTATGTGAAATCATCAGATACTATTGCACGTAATTCTAAGATTAAACCTGAATTGGATAGAGTAACAAAGGAACTAATGGCCACCACAGATATGGCAGAAGGTCAAAAAGTTGCTTTGAGAAGAAAAAAACTACTTTCAGATAACGGAATCAAAAATAGATGGTTAGCTGCTCCAATGTTACAATTACCTGTAGCTATTGGGTTTTTCAATGGTCTTAGATCAATGGCTAATTTCCCAGTAGATGGATTTGCCAACCAAGGTGCGTTATGGTTTCATGATTTAACTGTAGCAGATCCATACTTAGGTTTACAGGTTATTACAGCAGCTGTGTTAATGTCTTTCTCAAGGTTAGGTGGTGAGACAGGTGCTCAACAATTTAGTGGTCCGATGAAAAGATTTTTCATCATATTACCTTTAGTGTCAATTCCAGCCACGATGAACCTTTCTGCAGGTGTAGTTCTTTACTTTGCAGTTAATGGTTGTTTTTCTGTAACTCAAACGTTAGTATTAAGAAATAAATGGGTTAGAAAACAATTAAAGATTGCAGATGTAGTTCAACATCCTCAATCACCTGCAGATGCGAATAAAGGTATATTTGCAGCAATTAAGGATAGTATGGCTAAATCTAGAGAGCAATCAGAAAGAAGACGTATCATGCAGGAAAAACAAGAAAAATTACAAGAAGAAGCTAAAGCAAGGAAGGTCAATTCTAAGATTAAAATTGTTCGTAGATCTGATTTGAATAAATAGACAACAGAATATGACGATGACACTATCAAATGGATAAATTACTTGTAAATATTTCAATTTAAGAACTGTCAAAGTGACAAAACTTTTATATACTGTCAATTTATATACATTCAATAAGAAAAACAAAAAAGATTTATTTTTGAATTAAACATTGATCAACACGATATTAATGGTTTATTAAATAATATAGATGTATGCAACTGTAAATTATTATATGCATTTGTCCATGTGTGTATGTATATATATATATAAATGTGTATGCGCGTGTTATTCATAGCTGAATACTTTTATACGTCAGCGAGCATACATGTAATTGAAAACATGCTAAATGTTTCTAAAAGTTCTTTTATTTTGATTCTATAAAGAAATCAGTAGGAACTTTGATAAAATCTTGCAGGATTGATTGAACAGCTCCCAATGTCGGACCCATGCTGTTAGATAGGTCTTCTTGATCAATAAAACTCATTGAAAAGACAATTGCCAAATTAGATGCATCCATACGATTGGTAGATACATGTTGGTGCACTTTGTTAAGATGTAACACGATTCTACGCATAGTCTGGTAGTAACAAACAGGTAACTGGTTCAATAAAGTAGTCATGTTACTTTTGTAAACTTCGTATGAGATCTCATTGGCCTTGTAACTCAACGCAAGTTTTGTAAATTCACTTACCTTTTCATTTGTGAATAACGAATCTGGTAATTCTCTTAAGTACATTTTAAAACAACCGGCAATGGCATTAATTTCAAACCATCTGTCATCTTCTAGGGTAAAGGTATTACTTGTTGCACCCTCCTCATCGAATGCATTCTTTAAGGCATTGATACTACCTACGGATCCTGGTATTCTATACAAACCAACCTCATCTAAACCTCTTAATTCGATTTCTTCTAATAGTTTAACAATTATGGTAGGGATAACTGTTCCTTCCCTAGCACATATATCTTCTAGCGGAACACCGAATACCTTATTTGAGGTCCGTCCCTTGAATTTTTTGGAATGGAATGAATATCTTTTGGAAGCTTTAATCATCTTTATCCATTCATATAAGTCATCTGAACTGGTTGCTTGGATCGTATATTCATGATTATCTTGCATTATTATCTTGAAAGAGAAAGAATACGCAGGAATATTTCTATGATTCATGATTTCCAATATATTTTTGATTTCAAATGTCTTTATGCACAGAGTATGCCTTGAATCATTAATAACTTGATTAGTTATATCAGGTAACAGGTATGATTCAATAACTTTCTTCGAACCGGCTTCTTGAGAAAGTGAGCTGTTTAGGGAGTAATTTGATATTGATGTGTTAAAACCAGCGATAGAGAATGGCCGTCTGAAAAATCCACCAAGCTTTTTGCTAACACCTCCTGCTTGAGTGGGTTGATTGGTACCGCCAACAGAAGTTCTATGAGGTATATTAGTGATGGAGTTTCTACTCTTCTTTGAAATTGTACCAGATGTCGAAGTAATAGTATTTGAAGACGAAGTGCCTGTGGTTCCATATTGAGAAGATGATTGAACAGGTGCCATTGGTGAAAATCTACCTTTTTGTCTATTAATATCTTGTTGCATTTTATTGGAGTGGATAGCGTCACGTTCTTGAGTACGTAAACTGTTTAATTTTGCTTGTTCTCTTTTGATTTTCTCAACTTCTAAGACCAGAATATCATTAAAGACTCCAGTTTCCTGGTATTTGGATCCCCTTGCTTCAGATATTGCAAGCTCTCTGCTTGCCTTTCTGAAAGATTTGTCCGAATCCTGGAAATCATTCATCAATATGTAACCACATTTGTTTGACAATTTCTTGGACTTTCCTGGGATTAGTGCTGAAATGTTAGCAATTATATTATGTACAAATCTTCTTTTATCAAAGTTAATAAGTCTAGTATTTGAGATACTCATATTTGGGACAAACTGGGATATTTCAAGTAGTCGACAGATGAGCCACCCAGGGCAAGGTGCAAGTGCTGGAATACATGAATCAAACACATTATCGATTTCAATGAAAGATTTCATATGTTTATCATCAATACCTTCTAATATATTGCTGATCGAATTAAAACTTTGATGTGAGGGGTCTTGATCACGGCATAGCAAGGCATGTCCATTCTTCCAACTTTGTTCGAAGAATCTACTTTCCGGGGAAATGATTGCATTTGAAATAGCTGTTTCAATAAAGGATGGAATATGTGAAGAAAGGCCATGTGGGTCTGTCGATTCTGTAGCCTCGAATAAATCCAAGCTTGCATTTTTATTTCGTGCGTAATTCAGCATTTGAATAAGAACAGCACATATGTTATTACGATCATTTAGATTTATTTTGGAATTTGAAATTTCAACTTGGAAAAATGCCGTTAATGAACGATGAAGTTTGATAATAATTTGAATCGAGTTTGGTAATTTTTCAAGTATTAGCGATTGACTCTCCGTCAATTTGTTAGTAACTACAAGAGTCGAAATCCAGGTAAGTATATTCAAAATTTCTAAATCTTTTAGTTGAGCAGATGTTGTGTTGACCAAGTTGGAAGAAAGGACATTTAATGGATAATTGTAAAATGATGTAAGCGACTTTGAAGACTCTAATTCTAAAATCTGATAAACAGCAATCCAGTCTCTCTTGTCAATAAACTGCATCCTTTCAGCAAGGAAGGTGTTTAAATCTTGAAGCCAGTCGAGAATCTGTTGGTAGTTATCGTACTTCAAGTTGTGAAACTGTGATAATAAGCTATCATCGAGTTGTTTACTGTTCAATAAACTCCGAAGTTCATCATAAGAAAATAATTTAAATGATTCTAGTATATCTGTTATCTTTTTTTGGGTTCTATTGATACCAACTGGTCTGTAAAGTTCCTTTTGGTATGTGGACTTAGTTGTTTGGAAAAGTTGTGTTAATTTCTCAACCAATTTAGAGACATCTTCATAAGATCCACGTGGTTCATTTTCATGGGCCTTCATATCTTGTAATCTTGATGGCCATTCACTTGTCACTTCTTTTTCCATAACTTTGAGAATATCAAAGAAGATCGAATTACATTTAGGATCATCGGTAAAATCACTATAATGATTTAAAACAAGATGGAAAATTGCTTCAGCAGCACCGATCTGGATTTTTGCTACATAGATAAAGTTAACATCTTTCTCGTCTTGAATTTTGGAATTCCAATTTGGAAAGCTTTGATTTTCCACATAGTTTTTAGGGTCTTTGCCTAAGTCTAACATGGATGTAATTGTTACAGCGCAACTCTTGGCCCCGATGTATCTCTTTGCCAAGTTTTCTAAAACATTAGTAGTAGTTGTAAAGCTCCTATAGGAGTCAAAAAATGTTTCAGTAAAAATATCATCGTCTAGAACTAGTTTAACAAACGCATAATCTAATAAACCAATAGAGTTTCTTTCCTTTCCTTCTGGCGTGTTGAAGCTTTTGGTTTTATTTTTAAAATGATTTTCTAAATCTTTGGTATCAACTAACTTGGAAAAAACATTTGCTGTAAGAACCAGTAAATCAAATATTCTTTCTAAGGAAGCAGACTTTAATACAACATCTATAACGGATTCATTGAAGGTATCAGAAACGTTACCGATACCTTCAAAAAAGCTCATATTTTCTAAAGTTTTACTTAATCTATTCATATCATGCGAATCTCTCGAAGTGTTATTACCGAATGACTGTTGTGAAAATTTCCTCGGTGATTCTAAAACTATACTTGTTGGTCTAGACTTAACGGCCTTTTCAATATTCGACTTAAAAACTAGATCATCTGTAACATGGAATAGGTCAGTATCGATATTAAACATATCTCTTATGGACTTCATCAGTGTTTGTTGTGTTGATTGTCTTTGAGCAAGCTCTTTAATGGTTGGACCATCAATTTTTCCAATACCTGTAACTTGGTTAGTATCATTATCATTAGTTGAAGCATTTAAATTCAATAAAGATTCTGATTTACCGATAGTAGATAAAGTACTTGATCTGCGAGCGGATGATCTTACTGGTATAGCAGGTGTATTATTAATGGCAGGTCCAGCTGCACCTATCAAAGATTTTTTTGGAAATAAACTGTAATTAGGTTGTAACTCGTTAAAAAGAATAGGTAAGTAACTTCCCGTTAGTAACGGACTTCTTCTTAAGTTCATATCAGAATATAGACAGGGATCGATCGCTGGTGGTTCATATTGGAGACTCAGTTTCATTATATTTTCAATATTGATAGAGGGTTGTGCAACATGATACCTCCAGAACTGGTAAATACTGCTTGCTTTTGGATCGACCTTCTCATTATCATTAACTTTGATAGGCTCCTTCGATGTTTTTCTTACTGTTTCCAGTCTTTGTTGCCATTTGTGGAATGCATTTTTTGTCCTGTTGATCTTTTTCTCGAGATACTTAAATTTGATGTTTTGAGATAAATCGTCAGCATATATTATTAAATCTCCGAAATACGAGATTACATTTTCCCTGATAAATGGATCATTTAAATTTGGAGGAGCTAAAATGAATACACTGCTGGTTGACTTTGATGAGGCTTGTCTTCTCTCTAATTGAGCAATTGTTGGAACCCAATCTTTGAATATAATCTTTAACGTGGTTTCGGAGACATATTGCCATGATTTAAATAATCTAAGGACAGGTACAGAACACAATACTGTAGCGATTGCTAACCATGATACCATGTCACCTAAATGTTCGAATTTGCAACCTAATTGAACCCATTTTCTTAAAACTTTAGCTCTCATTTTTGGTGTAATTGATGATGGATCAGAAGGAAACAAATGACAGACGAGTAATCTCCCTAAGAAGTGTAAATTCTCAGAATTATTAAATACCAAAGGATTTAGAACTAATATGTTTTGATTAATATACTTTGACGAATATAATAAGGAATAATCCTCTCGCGGGGTCCATACTTTATCGAACTTCAAGTTAATTGAGTGAACCTCACTGGCAAAAGAAGTGCTGTCAATGTCAAGAAATTTTTTGAAATCCAGAATGTCATTTAGCAAATTGTTTCCACTAGGTTTATTTGCGGATGAATTACTCTGAGAAACAGATACATCAACGTTGATATATGAAGTTAATGATGTCATCTCGTTGTGTCTATTAGCTATTGAGATTTTTAAGCTATTTGATATCTCGTCGTTATGAAGCGATATTGTGTTAAGTAATGCAATGGTAGCTTGGAATATTTGTTCGTCTAGTAAAAACCCTGGCATGATGTCAAGAATAGTTTTCCCAACTAGGGCTAATCTCTCTGAGAGTTGGTCGTCCATATCATTTGTAATATTATGATATTGTAATGAAGTTGTTGTTAATTTCATCTTGTGTTTTGTGAAAGTAAGACCAAATTGATTGAAAGTTGTAATAAATTTGATAAAATAGTCAACCAGTGGTAGAAGCAACAAGATATTAACAATTGTTCTTTGCTTTTTGCTTGTACTAGTACTATGTTTTCCTGAAGACATTGGTGAAAATAAAACGGCATGGCATAAACTTTCGACGTCACCACCAATAATTCTACCTTCATTATCTAATTTTAAATTTGGATGTGGGTATTTTTCACTCAAATATTTTATATCTGAAGGCAATATAGTTTTAGGGTCTACATGTTCTTTATTTTGATCTAGATTAATTTCTCTCTTGGATGACGGAGTGTCTGTGATAGAATATTTCGATCCTGCTATTGTTGCTCGTTTATTTAGTAATTGTTGTGAGTTTTGTTTATTATCATTTAAGTCTATCTTGTTAGGGTCTTCAACCTGTTGCGGTTCATTCACATCAGGTGGAATAGCAGTTGGATCAAAATATTTTATATTACTACCAAGCCCATCTTTGTATAAAGTTAATAGGCAACCTTTTAATTCTGCACGATAAATTCTGTAATCTGGAACCATAGTTTGTGCATCAAGCATAGTACTATTTCTTTGGTTTCCTAAATCTAAACGAACGGAGTCTCTATTTGATTCTGTCTCCATACCGTTCAATTGAGCTAGCATATCTGCTCCAAATAGTACACTTTCTCTATGAGACATTTTTCTCTCTCTTAAATGCTGACTAGAGCTCGAGTGAGGTAATTGAGTATGTGGTTGTTGTTGAGACATGATTTGTCCATGTGATCTATTCACCCAACCAATTTTAAAGGTGGTAGTATCAAAATTATCATCATTAAGATGTACAAGCATTCTTGAAATTGTATCTCTTCTCCGTTGTTGTTCGTTTGATAATGAGGATTTAGTAGTATTAAGTTTTCTAATCTCAGATCCGTGTGAAGAAGAATTCACTGGAGATAAGACGGGACTTCCAATATCTTCTTTACTTATATGGTTTGTATGTAAATCCTCTCTAGAAGTAATAGATGCATTGACAGTTGTGGCAGTCTCATCAGAAATAATTGATTCTGTATCATCCCTTTGATGATTATGAGAGGATAAATTTGCATGATGATTCGATAATATACTTCTTGTTGATCTTGCATGTCCATCAGAACTATAAAGTTTCCTCTCTGTGGAATGATGATCTGTAGTTGACAAAGAGCTTTGTCTTTTCATGGATTCCAAGGGTAAATGACCAATTGATTTGATGCTATGTTTTGACAAATGATGTTGACGACTTGAAGACACAGATAAATTTGAACTTGAACTTCTGTCGCGTAATGAATTAGTCAACGCCTCCGTTGTTGTGGTTTGAGGTAAAACATTTAGTGAGGATGACGACGAAGATGACGAAGTAGATCGTTTTGAATGATGACTTGCCTTGTCATTATTTTTGTTATTTGAGGATTTTTTGTTCTTAGACCACAAGAATCCTTTCATTATTAGATATTAATATTGGTAGTGCAGTTTTCTTGTTTTATTTCGTTCTTGGCCCTTCTTGTCGATTGATTCACTACCTCCGTACAATTTATAGATTTAGTCAGTTGGAATAAGGATATTTAATGGGAAGCAAATCTCTGAGGTAATGAGCTAAAGGAAATAGTTCTAAATGTGTTACACGTATTTAAAAATTTCGACTCCTTGAGACCAAAAAAAAAAAAGAAATGTGTGATCCGATATCTTCTTCTATGCTTTAGTAAATGGAAAGAAATTTACTCAGTTTATTAAAAATTATGTCACAAATGAAAAAAATAAATAAATTTCACACGTCTTTCACACTGTTATTGTGTATCTTTCTCTTTTAAATAATATTGGTTCTAATCTTTATTGTTTTCTTCTCTGTTGGCCCTGTTTCATGTAGTGGTTAATTTTAGAAAATAGCCAAGTGCCCTCTCTCTTTGTTTCTCTATTTCTCTCTCTTTCGCTTTCTCTCGCGCTCTCTGTGAATTACGGGCTCGCCTAGTGACCTCAATACATAATAACAACAACAATAATAATAATACGTAAACATTATAAATAATATATGGCTTACATACAAAAAAATGAAAACAAATGAAAAATCGTTCTGCGATTTCACGTAATAATAAATAATAAACAGGTAATGGATAGAGAGCGACAGGGTATTTAGTCAGTTTCTTGTGTTTGAGAAGTATGATATAGTTCTTTGGAAACTTGTTTTGAAATTTCTTTCATTTGGATTATATATATATAAATGTATATATGTTGAATAATAAATATTGACAGAGAAACTATAGAGACATTCTAGCTAGTTGGAGGACAGATTCTTTGGTCTTAGCACCACCAATGAAACCAGCAGTATGGATGAAAATACAACCAGGCACACCACTCTTTTCACTTAGAGCATCATCTCTTAACCCTCTTAATTCTTCTGGTAAACCCTTTCTGAATTCGAAAGAACCAGATGATACTGGTACAGTAGATATTCTCCAAGTAGCAGAAGAATCGACAAATAGAACAAATTGAATTTGACCTTCAATTTTTAATTCTTTTTCAATCTCGTAAAGATGTTCTTTCCATGGACAGAATTGATCAAATAATAAAATCTTACCAGATGCATCGACATCCAGACGGGACTCGACAGCTTTCTTAACTAAAGTCTTGGCTGGTAACCAACTTAAACCATAACCTTTCACTAGATCTACAAAGATTTCACCAATAAAGTTTGATGCTTTTTGGAAATTCTTGTCAAAGACATCGTTGGAATTATCCTCGTTCCAACTTGGATTGAAACCAGAAATGATACCTGGGATAGTAGTAGCCTTCTCATTGAATCTTGGTTTGATATCAGTACCCTTAGTGTTGTATTGAGAAATACCATTATCATTAGCATCTAAAGCTTCGACGAAATTCTTGTAAACTTTTTCATAAAGAATATCAAGATCATTTTTAGAAGCATTACACCCTAGGATTTGATTGATAATATCTCTACCGAAATGTTTGAATACAAGACCTGCACTTGACAATTTTGTATGATATTTTTCAGAGAAAGTACCAGTAAATTCACGCTGATGGTGATCGAAAAACTTCACACCATCATACTTAGCACTGACATCAACAACAATATCACTAGCTTCCCAATCCTCAGGGTTTCTGGATCTGCAAACTTTAGCATCCTTATATTCTGGTAATAATCTTAACATATATACTGCTAGAGATTCATCGGCATGGAAAGAGCCGGAGTGAGTGCAAATTTGTTTAACCATTTTATCTAACTTGATCTTCTTGAGTGCTGACATCTAATCTCAACGAGGTATAATCAATCAGAAGACAACTCAGAATATCAAAAACACAGAAACAGAGTATATATGTGTGAAAACAGAGACCCTTGAAATTACTCTACTTGATTATCAAAAGAAAGCTCATCACTTCTTTCCCTTTAAGTAATAAATTTTCAGTTCGGACAAAAAGAAAAAAGTTGAAAAAAATTTTCGGTTTTTATTCAGTAAATTGTCGGAGATGACAAATACAGCTCATTAATGACATAGTAAGTAAGTAATATTTTGACTTACAAAAAGTATTCTACTGTAAATTAGTTACAATAGATTTAATATCAATAATTATTTCAATTGGATGTCCTATTACTTCATTAACTCCTTTTTTCTTTCAATAACTAATTGAAACACATTAGCGATATCTCCTGGAAAAGGAAAATTGCAAGTTTACCTTATATGAATTTAAAGCAGTACAACTTGTAATTGATCTTGTAGTCGCCAATAGATATTATCAATTAGTTCAAAAGATTGACCAAAGATGACCCTGTCTAAAGGTTGCAAGTGTGGGGGTGAGAGGAAACTGTCAGCTTTAATGAACCAATGCTTTAATGAAAATTTTCTTTAACCTATTTATTCTTTCAAGCGTTCAATAACAAACAAACAAATAAGATCAATGATCTAAACTAAAGTTAGGGTTGACTTATGCCACAAATGAACTATATAAACTGTTGTTTATAATACAACAGTGCTCATTTCTGAAGTATATATATATTATCATTCGGGAACAGCTCATTATCAGGGCCCCTAGATAAAATAGTATACAAGGTCAGACATGTAATTCCATTACTATTTAATTCTGGACATTGGAGGATCTAAAGGTAGTGGTTGAGGTGGTTTGGCTTAAAATTAGGCCGGACTATATGGGTAAATAATAATAAGATATATCAGTACTATGTAATTGGAGTTCGCTAGAGATTGGATGAATTTTGCTCGATCATATTATGTACTACTTAAATATGTATACATGTTTCTGTGGATACCTTGCTGATGACGCAATTGTTGTGAATTCCTATCGAGGCAAAACAATTTTTGCAACTAATAAACCTATCACCATTAGTTATAGCAATATGGTCGCGTTTGGGTTTAACTATGTCATAGTTTTTATGTGTATTCTTGCCAAGGTACATTCTCCATCCTTTAACAATATTCGCCAGTAAAACCCACTGTTAATCATCACGACATGACAGTGGGAAAAGTTGGTTAAATATTATCTTAAAAAATTTTAAAGAGTACAATTAGCCTAAGTGTTATTGAACTGTCCAATGATATAAATATTAATTAACATATCCTCTTTTCAATCAAGAAAATGAATGCTCTATTTCGCCAATTTCAAAACTTTAAGATGATTCTTCAAACTTTTTGGAAAAGTTATGACCTTTTGGCAATCCTAATTTACGTCCAAGGAAGCGAGAGTTGTTAGCCAACATTTTAATAAACATTCAGGAGTAAAATTTAGAGCAAAGTATTTATGTCTGAATATCGTTTAGGTGATAGTCTTACTGGTGAATTTAAATTTTGAATTTTCAAAAACTGACACCAATTTTTATCGCTTCGAACGGTATGGATCACTTCAATTAGACAATATATTAATCTTAGTTAAACATTTTTATTAAGACATATTATACGTAAATAAGCCTTTAATAAAGGAAACTCTGCATTAGAAGTCACGCAAACCCAACAATAAAAGGACATAATTTTGGTGTACACAACCTATATAAACATATTATAATGGTTCGTAGTAGAAGAAATTCTTTGGTTCAAACAATTGCGGTTCAACCGACTTTGTTGGAACCACAAGAGAATAGTTTATTAGATGATTCGTATTTACTTGAAAATTTACAGAAATTGGCCACTGTTATAAATGGTACAACTGACAAAGAAATTTTGTCACTTAACTCAATTGTTAAATCGTCAGTGGAGTCTCTGGATTCAGTCACTACACCTGATAAATATTCTCAATACACTGATTATTTAACTCAATTGGATGAAAATATTAAAGACTATGACAATATCTTAAAACAAACGCATCGCATTAGTAACCAATTAGAAGATTCATTGTCTCAATTTAACACAATTTCTGATCAATCTTCAGGTTTTATTAAGGATACCCACACACTATATGATTCACGTAAAGAATTTGTTAAATTATCACAGGCTTTGCCCCAGTATTTGACATATTTTGATAATCTAGCACCAATTATTCGTCGTCTTAATCATGCAAGTTCCCCAAATATTGTTCGTAAGGAATCATTTAAGACAATGCTATCAAATATTGATAAATCATTGTTTTTCTTAGAGGAAAACCCAGATATTCTAGAGTCTGAGGCCTATAGGATCAAATACAAACAATGTTTGATTAGAGCATGTGATTTGATATCGAAATATTCAATAAATAATTTGAAACAAATTCAAAGTGAGATTACTCAAAAGGATATCATGGCAAATAAAAACACTAGGGATGCTTTAATCTACAATAAATTTTCATCAATTTCAGATGATTTCAAACAAAATATTTCTGCATTAATTGACAGAGCCACAGACGAAAAATACAAAAGGTATAATAGCGAACTAACATCGATCCTGAATGATACTTTTGAACAATATTTTCAAATTAGATATAAATTTTTAAATCAAATCATATGGTTACAAGTAGATGATACCATTATTCGCGATAAAAAATTTAGTATGATCCAATTTATTCAAGATAACAAGACATATTTCCAGCAGTTATGTAATAAAGAGTATAAGTTGTTCATGGAATTTTTCCCTGAAGATTCTATCTGTAAAGATAGGATAAATCATTGGTTTATTAAATTGTGTGACCCATTCTACGTTACCATCGGTGTAAAATGTGGTCGTGAATCAGATATTGATATATTGTGCGACTCATTAATACTTTTTGAGCCATTTTATCAGTTTGAAGAGGACTCTGAAGAGTATGCAAAACAATTTAATGAAGTTCAATTTGATAAAATCTTTTCGCCTGTTTTGACCAGAATTCAGAATAGGTTAATCCAAACGGTTAAGAATTATATTCACAGAACAATCGTAAGTTATAAACCGTCTGCTGAAGATTTTATGATCTCTAATAAGAAATTAAAATTACAAGATGATGAGGGATTTGTGAAGACTTATGTTAGCAACTTCAGGAATGATAATACTGTGACAGCAACAACAACGTCATCATCTGATAAAACAGAAAACAATAATGCGATTATTATTTCGTCATATTATATCCCCCTAATTAAAGGTTTGGCTCTCTTATTTAAAATTTTTGAAATGGTTAACCCTTTGATTTTTGATCAATTAGCTCATCACACCGTTCATTCTTGCATCAGTTCTTTGAAAAATGCTTATACGATCATCACAAGGAATGAGAGCCCAGATACCTCTTTAGCCCACGACTTGGATATCAAATTATTCTATCTCAGAAATCTGTTATTATTACGAGATGAGATACAAGAGTTTAATATTAAATACACTTTGAACACAAAATCTTTAGATTTCTCAGGTGTTGAATCTTTTTTCAAAAATTACAAAGCAGGTGAAATGTCTCTATTTTCATTGGCTAAAGATTTTGTTCCCAAGGTTGTGGATAACATGCTTGATGCACGTACAGAATTAGTTCAAGAATTAAGAATTTGTATTAAAGATTTTACCGATGTTGCAAGTACGGATATAATTGGTGATTATCTAATGGTTACGACCCCAGAGAAGCTGACCACCGTTAATACTAATTTAACTAGTTGCATTGAAAATAGAATTCCAAGAATATATGAACAAATATGTCACTCTATAGAGGATAAAGAGATAGCCCAGCATTTGATAGAAGCTATTGAACAATATTGCAATGATCAATACTCCGAGTTTCATGATAAAGTAGTCACTCTAGGTGAGCAATCAAAGCTATCTAGCGATGACGTTCTTCAACTTGTTCCTCCCGAAGTTTTTAACCAAGCGTTTAAGACCTTAGTAAACCAGACATTGAAGAAATAAAAGTAATGAGCATGTACGTTGTGTAATGGAACACTACAACACAAAGTAAACAATTATGTATTCATGAATTATATCATGTTTTTTTAAATATATATTACTTATAATTCTGCATTATAGAAAAAGATGAAATTATTAGAAATCTTGTCATTTCAGAAATGATAAAAAATTATACACGACACCAGCCATAGCGTCTGTCGGGAGATAATTTAAAAAAGAACTCCGATACGGGGAGTCGAACCCCGGTCTCCACGGTGAAAGCGTGATGTGATAGCCGTTACACTATATCGGATGATATTCTATGAAAAAATTGCCTCACAGACGCAATAAGAACCAGTAGAAATCTATAAATAGAATGTTTATCACAAGATTATCCCAGTTGAACTTTAATTCAACATATATAAAGACATGATTATTTCGGATAGAAATCGTTATGTCGTAGATCGTCGTAGCTCGTCGTAACTCGTCGTTATACTTTATATAATACATAAAATAGGACAAGTGTAGCAGTATACACATTTTTGTATACCGAAATCCGAGTATCGAAATACCACATCTGGTAGTGCTTATTTTGAATTATTGTCCGGTTGCCTTCCTTCTTACACCGCTTATAATTACTGTTAACCACAAGTTGCTTCCACCGTTTTCGCCGCCATGCCACTCGATTCTGTTTACGCCGATGTCATGGATATTGATCACGTTTTGGCCGATGGTCCTACCAACCTTAGAGGTAATGTTCCGAAGTTGTTCAGAGGTACCACTGATATCATGAAACTACCTGATTTCACGACGCCATGACTGTCTAATTTATCACGAGACATATCACCGCCGATCCTGAAAATATCTGTTTCTTTGGCCGTAACCTCGTCTGCCCTGTTTCTGAATGGTTTCTCACCCGATTCGCCAATCATTATGAACCAGGTATGCTTAACTACGGTAATTTTTCAGGTGATTTCACCGAACACTTCGTCCAGGAACTCGACCCTAACAAAGTATTAAACGCTATTGAAACGCTCAAGCAATGTCCCAAAAGGTGTTGAAGAGTGCAACACCAAGTTTAGACAGCTATTATCCTTGATGCCCTCTGGCCACTGGACTGAAAAGGGTGTGTTGTTAAATTACATGAAAGGCCTTTACGACGACACCGCATACCTTGTGGCTATTACTCAACCAACCACCTTGCAGGATGGCTGCCGTGCCGCTTATTCTACTGTTGCTATTACCAGAACTCCCTACCATGGCTATTCCTAAGAGAGAGGAGGTAGAAACACTGGTTATAACCAAGGTAATTCGGATAACAAGAAACGGTTATTCCGTCAGGAATGTATTGAGGGAGATCCCTATTTCAAATGCTAAAAGCTGGGGCATAGCTACAGTAATTGTAGCCAAGGTAAAACAATAACTTATTGCTTCCTTATTAATTTAAAATTAGGTCAAAGTAATCATGAGGCTTACTCGACCGAGGCATGATTATCAATGTTGTAGAAGAGATGGAGATGATTCTTATAATAAACCATCATATTGGAGTAATATGATGCATGTAACATTGGTGTATTATTACTGTGCATAAATACTATATGTCCCTTGCTGACCAAAGAGCTCTTAGTCCCATTTTTATTGCGGGAGACAAGGAGTAAATAATGTCTGAAGTATAGAAATTAATATAAAATTGTCATCGCTTTATATAGAAATTGAATGCGGCAACAACTCACGTATCAAACAATAAAAATAATGACTTCTGATATGCAATCCCAGGCATTACTAAATAATCTACAACTGTCGATTGATTGAATCTTCTTGAAGTAAACCGATAACAAAGAAGTTTGTTAAATTTTGTTTAGGTATATTTCAAGATCCTCTTCATTCAATGTTTCTTTTTTTCTTCTTTGAATTATATTTTAAAAATGTTCAGAATGTTTAACGACCTTATGCATAAATATTATTATTCAGCTGAAGCAGCAAAAGTAGCACTTGATGGAGTTTAATTTGCTTTACTTTTCTTGAATAATATTATGTTAAGTGTCTTTTTCACTTTCTATTCTGAAGGTTTTAAGTAATAAATGTAAATTTTGTATATACATCTTAAAAATCTAAAACTTATTAAATCTGTTTTTAGTTATATATAGATAGATAATGTTGAATATGAGTAAGATTTTTAATTATTTAAATGAGCTTCAAAAAGTTGTCATACCATTATTAGATTAAGGAAGAACGAATATATATGTATGTATGTATGTATTTATATATTTACTATAAGTATAATTTTTTATAAAAAAAAGAAAAAAAGTAGAAAGTCTCTATAAGGATGCAGAAAGAAACTTATTTTTGGTGTTATTTTTTTTCCTTATCGAAAAAAATGTGTATTACGTCTGCTATCAGGATGAACAAACATTTCATTTCTCTTGTATTGATTAACTTCGGCTTTAATTGAATTATTATTAAAATTTGATACACCTGAATCTCCTTTCCCATCATCTTCGGAATCTGCACGTTCATATTCCAATCCACTAAATGTTTCATCGACATAAACTCCTGTAGCAAATTTAACATGACGATTATTTTTTAATTGATTGTTTTCATTTTCATCAATATCTAATGAATCATTTAATGATATTGATAAAGAAGAGCCGAACGATGTAGAATGTATCGTTGGAGTTGAAATAGAATTATTTATTGAAGTGTTTAAATGAACGGTATCCCATTGTTTTTCAAGTCTTTGTAAAATATTATCATTTTTATTATTTATGTTAAGTGAAGGAGTTGTGGGTACTGTTATTGTAACTACAGGAATTGGAGTAAAAGTTGGAACAACAGGTTTATTTTTATTTGAGTCTCTTGATATAGATTTATTTCTTACTAAACCTTTAAAAAAACTTGACAACTTTCCACGAGATTTCTTAGGAGATGATGTTACTATTGAATCCTCATTATCAACAGGTTTAATTAAAGTTGGAGTTGCTGTGTTATTACAAGGAGTTCTTGGTGTAAATACTTCACCATTTGAGAAAACGAATGATTTTTGCATTTTTTGTTTTTGTAATTGATATGGAGACATAATTTGATTATCATTTAATAAAGGTTTCATACCTTTATTTTGTGTAGCTAAACTATTTGCAAAATCATAAGGTGATGAACCGATTGCTATTGATCTTGAATTATTTTCGTTTGATACAGGTGTGTATATATGAGCATTAATACTTCTTGTACGGCGGACACTTGTATTTCTTCTCATATTATTATTATTATTATTATTATTATTTGTATTTGAATTCATTGGATATTGTGGAAAGAATGGATCTCCCATATTCATACTACTATTCATATTATTATTATTATTATTATTATTAATAGTGTTAGGTCTTCTAACACTATATGTATTACTTCTTGCAACCATCATAATGGCAAAGTTAGACGTAATATTTGAATTTTGTTTCTTAGACTAATTCCAATTAAATGATAAGGCTATATATATGTATGTGTGTGTGCTCTAGTGACTAAAGTTCATTACTTATTTCAAAGCCATTACCTTCTTTAATAATTTTACCTTCTCTCTATATATATAAGGATATTAGATCTCAATATAAAAAAATATATATTATATACGTTTACTGTAAAAAAAATGAGCCATGGCTAATTTCGTTCCTCATCGTGTAAAATTCACGTTTTTCTATTTCTTTTGCTATCAAAGCCTTGTTCAGAGAACAGAACAGAGGGAGAAATATGCAATTACTGTTACTATTATACAGAAGAAGGAAATGTGTCTATTTAGTTATTGGTAAATCTAATAATATTTAATAGATTTCTTTACGTTCACGCACAATAGATTCCAATTGGGAGAGAGTCATCCCCAATCAATCTTTTGCGGAAAGTCTGGCGGAGGTGAATATTCCTTTCGTAAGAGCAACGGGCGCGCGCTGTGCTTTTTCTCTCTCTCTCTTTTGATGGGTGGTGGATTTACTACCTATCGCCGTTTCCGCGTTGTTGTTGAATAACACTTGCTTTCCTGCGTGGTTTTCTCTCTCTTTCTGTTGGGTGTTGAACGATATTGAATATAATCGAATTGCTGAGCCTCTCTCTCTCGCTTTCTCTGTCTTAAATTTCAATTATTGTTTGTTCGTGCGTCCGTTTAACAGCACCGGGTTCTAATCCTATTCACATCGCTCTGCAAAAAACTATTCAAACACACGGAAACTACAGACAAAGCTGTGTCTCACTTTCTGGCAGCCGGGCCCTCCCGGGTGAATGGGTCTCTCTCTCAATCAATAGTTCAAAATCAATCAATCTTCAGTAGTGGCAGCAGCAGCAGCAGCATCATCATCATCATCAACGTCATCACCGCATACGGCTTCGCGTAAAAAATCAAATTTCTCCGAATGCATAATTGTTTCACGCAAAGTGTCTGCAGAGATTCTTTTATTTCCTTGTGAACGAGCTGTTTGGCCAGCTTGTGAAACTAGCATTGCAACAAATAATTCAAGTGCTCTGCCTGCAATGACAGGTGTAGCTTGCGAAACTTTACCAATATCTTCATCTGTTTGCATTATTTTCTTAATTTTGGCAGGCGGGAAATGAGTTTGTATTCTTTGAAATACTTCTTGTTCTTCATAGTTGTCGTTACTCATCTTTTATTTGCTTTGGGTCTTTGTATTTTGGAAAATTATTGTCCCTTTCTCTCTCTCCCTCTCCCTCTCGCCTGTAACTTTTGGGGCTTTTTAAGGTCTTCGCTTTTATACTTTTTTTTTTTCACTTCAATGAATGAAAAATAAACAATTTTGTTGTCGTTGTTGTTGTTGTTTTTCTTGCACGTCGTACCGTGTGATGTTTATCTGTATTAAACACTAAAAAAACCAAAAACTAATTACTTCTATATATATATATATGTATGCTTCTTACCTTTTAGAACGATTTCTGGCTTTAGCTTTAGCTTCATCGTGTTTACGCAACCAATTTTGTTCTCTTTTATCTTCTAATCTAGCTGCTCTAGTAGCTTCCTCTTCTTCTGCCATTATATCTATTTCATTAGTCTCCATATCATCAGAATCCCATTCATCTTCTTGAGGACGATAATGATTACGTTGACCTGGTCTATTGAACATTGCCCATATTTCATCACGGTCATATCCACGATTATCTCTAATACGTTCCTCTTCTTCTTCTTCATCTTCTTCTATAAAATCATCTAAATCTTCATCATATTCATCTTCTGCTGCAGCATATTGTTTGTGTTTATTAAGTTTGGCTTGAAATCTTGCATGAGGTCGGGCAATACTTGTACCTATGCGTGTATTTAAATGTATTACCTTTGGTTCATTTATATTCTTCGAAGAAGAAGAAGAAGAAGGAGGAGGGGGTACTTGATTTTGTTTCATTATGTCATTATTTTTCCCTCGTATTGGATTCCGTTTCTTAAATCCTGGTTTATTTAAATGTGTGGTTTTAGTATTATTCCGAATTGCATTTGTTTTAATAATGTCTTGTGAATCGGCTTGTTTCATTAATTCCTCAAAACTCATCTTTTTAATAGGCTCTCGTCTTTTCATTATATTTGTTTGTGATGATTTATTTGAATTACTACCAAGTCGACGTTTGTATACTGTGCCTATATCTTGCTCTGTATCATTAATTTTTTTACGTCTAGTTGTACTACGACGTTTTATGATTTTATCCTTTGGTTTCTCATTAGATTTATTCTTTAATCTTTCTTTATTACGAATCTCTTTAAGTCGACGTACAGCTGGATCTTCGTCACGTATGTAATTTGTTGGTAATAATGAAGATGGTTCTTCTTCAATTTCATTTTTTTTATTTATATTAGAAGAATTATCCGCATGATAACTAGGACTATTTCTTTTCAATTTAGATAATTTAGATAAGAAACTCATCCTAATTTAGTTTTATTAAAGCTATATTTTCCTTATATATATGTTTGTATTTCTGATATTTTGTTTTAGTTCAGCTACGTATACACTTTATATGTGTGTTCGCACTCTTTTTTGTTTGTTTGTCTTTTTTTTCATTTTTTATTTTTTTTTCAGTTCCTATAAACATTCTATACATTGCGCGAGAAAGTGTCCCTAAATATTTTTCAATATATATATATATATACTTACGATATATCATCCATAAACGTTGCATATTCATCGTCAATCCCGTCATCTGGTTCTTCTTCTAATTCTTCTTCTTCTAATTCTTCTTCTTCTAATTCTTCTTCTTCTAATTCTTCTTCTTCTAATTCTTCGTTTGCTTCTTCCTGTTCTCTGGGCTTGTTATTATGAGAATTTGAATCAACGAAAAATCCACCACCACCTTCTTCATTTATTTCATCTTCAGATTCTACTTTATCTAAACGTCCCTCAGTTTCTCTAACAATACCATACGTGTTGTTTAAATCTTCTTTAATTCTCATCTTTGTTAAAAATATACGCCATAACTCTAATGATTGAATTTCTTCCTCTTGTCTCTTATTTTCTTCTTCGATGTATTCGATCCCATCAATAAATGTTACCATTGCTTCTTTAAACCATATAGCCACAACAACTCCACTAATCAGAGCTTTTGCCCTTGATCCACGTTCAAACTTGAATTTCGTTACCGCTGGTGCAAATTGAATCCCTAAAAATTTGGCAGCTTTAATAGCAACGGGACTCTCAATTAAACAACAATTCCCCGGAATCATTGATGGTACAAATATTTCAATATTACCAAATGTATTTTTGGAAATTTCCCCCAGGGGATATGTTGCTAATGGTGGTATATATAATTCTGTTGCATCTCTTGCATATAATCTTTCATCTTCCATTTCGCCCTCGCGGGTCTTTCGTTGAATTACTTTCAAATACTGACTACCTTTCTTTAAGATCCTTCCTTCATTATACCATTGACGACCACTTTTCAAATCAAGAATATCTCGACGTGCATATACTTTAATCATTCCTTTATTATTAGGAAGATTCAAATATCCACATTCTTTACAATTTTTCCGTAATATTTGATTACTATGAAGATCTCTTTCAAGTATATAATATGGGTGAGATTTCATATCGGCCAAACAATCAGGCATACCTTCATCATCATCTCTCACTTGAAAATATTCATCCTCGTAATCATCGATTTTAGTTCTTTTCCTATGATGTAAGGCATTTAAGACTCGTTGATACCATTGTAAACCATCGGAATCCTTTGTAATACGTCTTCTTCTTACCTTTGCATTTAACCATTTCACATATCGTCTTGTGATATCACGGCATCCTTCCTGGCGATCAAACGCTATCACATATCGAATCATATTACGCTTACAACAGGCAACACCTTTTGGTTCCATCTTGGTAATATGTCGGATTTGTTCAATGGTCTTTAAATTCATAGGATCAATACTAATCCACTGTTTAGAAAATTTGTCCCATACTTCACACCAAAAGATTGGATATTTTACCATATCATCATATGAGGTTCTGCAAGGTAATTCATTTTCTTTTAAATTTGTAAAATCACAAGGTTGACAGGACATGACTAATCGAGCATTAACATTACATGATCTTAATAATGATACAAACCCTTGTGTAGCAATATCCCTATCGCCAACACCCTTTAACACCTGTCTTATAAATGTTTGTTTGGTCATCATCGTTTGGCTTGCATTTGTATTTGTTTGAGTATCTTTAGATAACTCATCCCACATCTTCATATATAACCCTGTAGAATTATGATATTTTTGAACAATTTTCCAATGTTTTTGCCATACTTCCATAGATTGTTTTAAACCATCTAATAATTTTCTTGTGCTCCTCAATATCATTTCATTGTCTCTCTTTGGATGTAATAATTCTAAAGTCTTATCTGGAATTAATCTATTTAATTTTCTCATTAATTTCGAACTATTAAGCCATCTATTCCGAATAGAACCATGACTCATAAGACATACTAATTGCAACATGTGCATTGATCTACGTCTTTTTTTTTCCTCACTACAACACATATTTCGTACTTGACTGTTTTTAACCTCTTTAGGTTCCGTTTTCTTATGGATCGTCACTGATATATTTTTAATCTTGTTTTCGTTCGGTTCAGTATCAGATACATCTTCAAAATCATCAGAATCATACTCACTGGCAGAACCTTCCAATGATGATCCTTCACTAGGGATCTCTTCCATGGTTGACCGATTCACAATATTTGTTGGTTCATCCTTTTGAGGCTGCTCTTGATCTTTATCATCATCAGAATCTAGATTAATAATAACATCTGGCTCTACTGGAATCGATGGGGTTACTATAGTTGGCAATTTATCCCTTTGACGACGACGTCTCTTTAATGGACGTTCATTAGTTGTACCATTTTGGTTCTTTTCCCTGACTACTTTCCTTATAAGGTCGAAATATTCTTTGGGCAAATTATCATTCATAACCTTATGCTCTAATCATATTCTCCTTAACTTTTCTAAGTGGTAGCGATATATATCTATATATGTTTCTGTATTAAATATGGCAAATATAGTTTCATTATCGTCTTTTTTTGTTTTAAATTAAAAGTTTCCTTATATAGAAGATGTATAGAATAGTGCCTTACCTAAGAAAAAAAATGATTTTTAAGGCGAGATGAAAATATCAGGAAGCTAGAGAAAAGTGGTTCATTATTCATTGTAAAAGATATTTAAATTCAGATATATAACTATAGGCCCTTATGGACTTCTTCAAGTAACTTCTTTAAATAGTTATCAGTTGCTTTCATAGATCCATCCTTAACCATTTCATCTAAAGAATCACATAACAATTTCAAATATTTATAATTTGATCCACTTGGACCATGAGAAGTAGCAATGACACCAGCTGTAGCCTTGATATCTTCTGGACCTACAAAGGCTTCATTATCCACAGTACCAATGTATACCGACGTTCTTAGAACTTTCCTTCCAGAAGGTTCATGAATATCCAAATGACTTAATGAATCCTTCAATTCTGCCTCTTGAGAAGAAGATACTTCTAAGTGAACATCGACCTCATGTGATGTGTACCCGTTCTGTTCTCTAATATCCAAATATTCTCTAACATCAGCAGCATGATCGGATGGGATATAGTACACTACACCGACTGTAGTTAAGTCATCTCTGGAGATTGCCGTTGGATCTTTACTTTCATACAAATGGAAATCTTCTTTAAACTCATCTCTAGCAATAATATCCTCATAAGCTATTAAAGTCGCTACTCTACCGGGCGCCTCTGGAGTACCTCTGTGATCTATAGAGCTTTGCCAGAATCTTCTTTCAAATCCATGTATGATGGCAGGAATTCTATGTGTAAAATGTGGTGGTGGTTTATAAATGAGAGAACCGTAACCCAAGATCCATAGTCCCTTATCAACAGTCATTAAGCGAAAGTAACCTATTATAGTGTATGATTAATTTGTAGTATTTTTGAGTGACCACCACAAAACATGCATTGTCCTAAGGATATATATTAAAAAGAACAAAAAATTTATCAACTAATCCACCTTTATTTATATATATACTGATTTTATCCACTATGTATGATGTAATATATTTTTCAGTATTAATGCGCCGATCTAAATTTTGTTTAGTAATGAAAAGGGAATCTTAACAAATTAGTGTGTGTATATTAAGGATATACAGAGCGTATCATAAGGGGAGTGGGTGGGTTACCTTAAAGAAGGTAGTTTTTAGATATATGTACCCTTTTTTTATTGTGGTGATTTTAAGGATATTTCCATTTACTACGTAAAAATGAAATGGAATGGTCTGATTTTTCTTTTTTATCACTATTAGTTTTTTGTTTACATGTTTTGTAGGAGTTCTTACTATTTCCCACTGTTTGCAACTTGAAAAATTTAAAAACAAAACAACATACAACAACATAAAAACAAAACAAAATAAATTATTTGTATGTTACGTAATTAAGAATTGACTAAACTCCAAGAATTATGTATATTAATTGTTTTCAACTTTAGTTACTATCATCCAATAGTAATAATATTCACATTTCAAAATAGAGAAATAAGCCCTAGTACCGCTACCCATACATTAATTTCATTTTCGCGGGAAAATCAAGTATAGGGTTCAGAAACGCACAGCACAGATTCAAAATGAAATTTTTTTTTCTATCGCGGAAGTATAAAAGGAGCCAAAAATTCTGTGTTTATTTTACCTTCCTCTTAAAATTTTGTTATACCTCTTTTCTGACTACTAAAAGTTCTTGATGATTCAACGTGAAAAGGATTCTTCATTATAACGGTTCACCGTAGTAGGCACCATATCCAATTCAACAATGTTTTAGTAACGTCACCCAATTGAAAACTGCTCTAAGTGTGGCAGGTGTAATGGTGTTACTGCTGAATACGAGTTGGTCACGACTACATTTATTTGAACCTGTCGGTGACTGGATTCACTTTTTTACATAAACCCGATAGAATAGTTTGTTGGTTACACCTGTAGTTAATCATCGTTAGCACATCATGTACTACCTAGTTTTGGAAACTTTATCTTTATAGTATTGTTTTTGTTGTTAACTTTTTTTAATAGTCGAGTTTCCAGAATGTTGACCCATTGTTGACATATTTACTGAACATGTGCCCAAGTGTCAGTAAATATTTTTTTAGTTTGTAAAAACTTTTTTTAGTTTTACAAATTCGGATAGATATTAATTATTGCTAGCTTAATTCACAACAACTATTCTTACTTTTTTTTTTGTTCAAGTGTGTTTTGATGATGTTTACTTCTTTTTCTTTTTAATAATAGTTAACTTCACGATACTACATATAACATTATTCACTAGCGGTTACACTCAAATCATAAAGGCCTATCTCCTTTAAGGTTATCGAAACAAATATAAAACAATGTTGCTTTAACTTGTTTAACAATGCGAAAATTGTTACTCAGGTTTCATCCAATAGATAAGTTTCCCTTAACACTTTCAATCTTATTCTTGTCGTATACATAACATATCGTATACATAACATTCTCATCATCATAAGTAGCGTTACCCTCTCTAGCTATTTCATTTCTTGTCCATTAAATTTTCGTTTGCTTCTTGCTCTTTCTCTCTCTCTGTCTGCCTATTTTCACTTGAAGCTAAATTCTACCCATTTTTTTTGGATATTTTTTTTGAATATTTTTTTCACCAAAATAAGCCAATGTTTTCCATAGTAAATATGAGTCGTCATAATTAACGTATTCTTCCATCTACGTAAAGGTAAACAAGAAAAAAGGTGAACACTTAACTAGTAATATAGTTTAAAACTATTTCTAAATTTCAAAAAGTTTATAAGATTAATAAATTCTGTCTCCATTTTTTTTGATTCTTAAAAAAAGTTACAGAATCAGAAAGATATCTTTCAATTTCTTATTATTTATTTGTTTTGATATCTCCCTTTCAAAAGTTATCGAAATAATAGTGATAAACATTGAAACTTCACAAGTGTTTACAGATTAATTCACTAATTTTTTTAATTTTATAGACACTAATAATTAATTAATTGTTGAATATTAGAAAATGAGAAATAATATCTCAGATGATGTTCTAGAAAATCCAGAGTTGTATGGACTTAGAAGATCTCATCGTTCAACTGCTAATCAACATCAAAGTTACTATGATAGCGATGAAGAAGAAGATGCTGTAGTGAGTAAACCAAGAAGATCTAATAAATCTAGAACCGGTTCAATAAATGATGACGACGAAACTGATAATGCTTCCAATGAGGACTATGACATGGATGGTGATGATGATGAAGAAGATGACTTAGACGATTTTATTAATGATGACGATAATGATGAAGATGATTATGTAGGAACCAAAAATACAAAAAAGAGAACATCTACTAAGAAGACAAAACCTAAGAAATCCACGAGGACAAAAAAAGTTAAGGAGGAAGATGACGTGGTTCTTCCAACGCGTTTCTCCTCACGTAATAATAATAGATCAGTTAATTACAACATAGATTATTCAGATGATGATTTGTTAGAATCTGAAGAAGAATTGGCTGATTTGGATGAAGACCTGGATGGAACAGAATTCGAAGAAGAAGACTCTGTGACACCTTCTAACTTAGAAGAGAGTCATTCAATTGATATTGTTGTAAATCACAGATTAAAAGAAAATGTGGACCAAGATATGTTGAAAAAAATTCCAAGCTTGGATGAATGTAAAATAAACTTCGAGTTCTTAATCAAATGGGCAGATGAATCTCATCTACATAACACATGGGAGACTTATGAATCTCTCGACCAAGTTAAAGGTACCAAGAGACTTGATAACTATTGTAAACAATTCATAATACAAGATCAAGAAGTCAGATTGGATCCATACATCACTCGTGAAGATATAGAGGTGATGGATATGGAACGTGAAAGGCGCTCTGATGAGTTAGACGAATATACAGTGCCAGAAAGGATCATTGATAGTCAACGTATCACCTTAGATGATGGTACATCACAATTACAATATCTGGTCAAATGGTCTCGTTTAAATTATGATGAAGCTACCTGGGAAAATGCAGCAGATATCGTAAAACTATCACCAGAGGGAGTAAGACATTTCCAAAATAGAACAAATTCAAATATTTTACCTCAGTACTCAGATAATTATGGTTCAAACAGACCTAAATTTTCAAAGTTGGCGGAACAACCATCATACATCAAAGGAGGTGAATTGAGAGATTTCCAATTGACTGGTATCAACTGGATGGCCTTTTTATGGTCCAAAAATGATAATGGTATCCTAGCTGATGAAATGGGTCTTGGTAAAACTGTTCAAACTGTTTCTTTCATTAGTTGGTTGATATATTCCAGAAAGCAATGTGGTCCACATATCGTTGTGGTACCATTGTCCACAATGCCAGCATGGCAAGAAACCTTTGCTAAATGGGCACCTGAATTAAACTGTATTTGTTATATGGGTAATCAAAAATCTAGAGAAGCGATTAGAGATTACGAATTTTACACCAATCCACAAGCTAAAGGGAAAAAACACATGAAGTTTAACGTCTTATTAACAACATATGAATATATCTTAAAAGACCGTACAGAATTGGGCTCCATAAAATGGCAGTTCTTGGCTGTCGATGAAGCACACAGATTAAAGAATGCAGAATCTTCCTTATATGAATCCCTAAACAGTTTCAAGGTCTCCAACAGACTTTTAATTACTGGTACACCTTTGCAAAATAATATCAAAGAATTGGCCGCTTTGGTGAATTTCTTAATGCCTGGTAGGTTTACAATTGATCAAGAAATTGATTTCGAGAATCAAGATACTGAACAAGAAGAATATATTAGAGATTTACAGACAAGGATAAAACCTTTTATTTTGCGTCGACTAAAGAAAGATGTTGAAAAATCACTACCTTCAAAAACCGAACGTATCCTTCGTGTAGAATTATCAGATGTCCAAACTGAATATTATAAAAATATTCTAACAAGAAATTACAGAGCTTTGACTGAGGGTGCAAAGGGTGGTCATTTCTCATTGCTGAATATCATGAGTGAATTGAAGAAGGCATCGAATCATCCGTATTTGTTTGATAATGCAGAGGACCGTGTTCTACAAAAATTTGGTGCTGGTAATATGTCTCGTGAAAATATTTTAAGGGGTCTCATTATGTCGTCTGGTAAGATGGTTTTACTGGATCAACTTCTGACAAGATTAAAGAAGGATGGTCATAGAGTTCTTATCTTTTCCCAAATGGTACGTATGCTAGATATTCTAGGTGACTATCTATCAATTAAAGGTATAAATTTCCAAAGATTAGATGGTACAATTTCCTCTGGGCAAAGAAGAATATCTATTGACCATTTCAACGCGCCTGAATCTAAGGATGACGTTTTCTTATTGTCAACAAGAGCAGGTGGTTTAGGTATTAATTTAATGACAGCCGATACTGTTATTATCTTTGATTCCGATTGGAATCCTCAAGCAGATCTACAAGCAATGGCCAGAGCTCATCGTATCGGTCAAAAAAATCATGTCATGGTTTACAGATTTGTATCAAAAGATACTGTCGAAGAAGAGATTCTGGAAAGAGCACGTAAAAAGATGATTTTAGAATATGCAATTATCTCTTTAGGTGTCACAGACGGTAACAAGTATAGAAAGAAGAGCGATCCAAATGCCGGTGAACTTTCTGAAATTTTAAAATTTGGTGCTGGTAATATGTTTGCTGCCACAGATAATCAAAAAAAACTAGAGGACTTAAACTTAGATGACGTTTTAAATCACGCCGAAGACCATGTTACTACACCTGAACTTGGTGAATCTCATCTTGGTGGTGAGGAATTCTTAAAACAATTCGAGGTTACAGACTACAAAGCTGATATTGATTGGGATGATATTATCCCCGAAGAAGATTTGAAGAAGTTTCAAGATGAAGAGTTGAGAAGGAAGGACGAAGAATACGTTAAGGAACAACTCGATATGATGAATAGAAGGGATAATGCTTTGAAAAGAATTAAAAATAGTGTAAATGGAACTGGTACTCCTCAGGAATCTGAAGATGAAGAGGAGAATAATTCTAGATCTAGAAGAAGAGCAAGGGCCAACAATTTAAATGCCATAGGGGAAACAGAGATTCGTGTATTATACAGGGCTGTCTTGAAATATGGTGATTTGACAGATCTGTTCGAAACTTTAATCGCTGATAACGTGCTACCTGTCAGATCCATTGAGAAGTATGAAGAAATTTATTCCGAACTAATGACTAACGCTAAAGAATATTTAGCAGATGAAGAGACAAAGAGGAACGAAATAATGGAAAAACTTGAAAAGAATGCTTCTGAATACAGATTGAAATTGAAATCTGGTCAAATCAAGATTGAAGATCAACCAAGTGACAATGCACTAACAAGACTTGCTGCCAAGAGGAAAGAAAAGAAAGCTGTATTATTTACATTTAGAGGTGTCAAATCACTGAATGCCGAGTCACTAGTGAATCGTGCGGAAGAACTAAAGTATTTAAAAACTTTCATACACGATAACTACAAGGATGACACCTTAAAGTTCAAGTTAGATAATACCAAGAATCCCAAGCCAGTTCAAAATTGGAGTTGTAACTGGAATAAAGATGACGATGAAAAGTTACTGGTCGGTGTTTACAAATATGGTTATGGTGCATGGACACATATTAGAGATGATCCATTTTTGGGTTTAACTGATAAAATATTTTTAAATGAACAACAAAAGCCAGGACCTAAATCTTCTTCCTCAACCGAAGTAACCAATGATAATGCTGAAAACAATGTAGCCAAGAAGGGAAAAGGTATTACTGGTTCTTCTAAGAAGGTGCCTGGTGCTATTCACCTAGGTAGAAGAGTAGATTATTTAATCTCAGTAATGAGAGATGAAACAAAGGAACAAACCCCAAGTGTTGGAAAATCAAGTAGTGCAGGAACAGATCTTTCGACTATTTCTGATAAGACTGCAGTAGGTCCAAGAAAGAAAAGAGTTCGCAAAACGTCTAACGATAATGGTGTTCTGACGGCAAAGAAGGTAAATAGAAAGAGTGAGGCACCACCAACTAAACGTCAAAAACCATTACCAAAGGGACCTGCTCCAAAATTATCACCACCAAAGGGCCCTGCACCTAAGACAAATACACCAAAGCTACAAAAGACATCCACTATCAACGATGACAAACATGCCAAGGAATATGATAGTATGGATGAAAATGAGTGCAGAAACAAAATGACTACAGTACGCACTTCATTACAACGCCTAAGACGTGGTGGTAAGGGACTTGACCGTAGAGATTGGGCCAATATTCTAAAGACAGAATTAACGAACATAGGTGATCACATAGAGCGCGAGAAAGCAACTGCTGCAGATGCACCAACTGACAAATTGCGTAAACACCTCTGGTCCTACGCTGCGAACTTCTGGCCTGCCAATGTCAAGAGCGATAAGTTAATGGCAATGTACGAAAAGATTCGGACTGCCAGATCTACACCGAAGGAGAGCAAAGAGAACGTCACCAATTAGCATGCATATACCCCCTAACTTCATATAACTAATAAACCTGTATATTATTATTATTATTAATAAATCAATTAATCATTTTAAGTCTAGTGCCAGGCCTTTTCTCGTTCTAAGTGATATTGAAACTGAAAATTTTTTTTCTCCTTTCTGCGCCTCTCGTTTCTTATTCTGTGAGATGCATCGCAGCTGAGAAGACAAAAAAAAAGCGAAAATTTTTTTTTTTTTCGTCGTTTTTTGGTGAGTCCAAAGTTTGTGGAACTTTATAGAATTTTCCAATTTTGTCCAACTCGCCATTGCGCAAGACAGTTTCACAATACTCATCACTTGTTTCTTACCAACAGGCTGGAAGTACCATGAGAATTTTGCTACTCTTGGAAGGTAGAATGATGGATGGGATAACATATTTTCTTTTATAAATTTATAAGATTCTTCATTAGCTAAAATAATTCTATTTCACTATTACGATATTTCTTTTTCTTTGCTCATTTAGTTTATTTCTTGTTTTCGTTTTAACTCGGTGAGCTGCATATAACTTCATTAGTTTATCTTCAGAAACATTACGTTAATTTATAATAGTATTAAAGCACTTTTATCTCACTTTGGATTACCGACCCCAGTACCAGTTTTATTAGATTTAATAGCTTTCTATATTATTGTTATTACCATATATTGAAAAAATATCCAAAAAAAATTTAAAAAACCCCCAATTTAAAACAAAAAAACTTACATTTTTTTATTATAACTAACCCATACCAAATAATAATTAATAATGTCTGATATCACTGAAAAAACTGTTGAACAATTGGAACAACTAAAGATCAACGACGATCAAGAGACTGCCCCAACCTCTACCACTACTTCTGAGGAACAAGGTGACAGAACTGCCCAAACCTCTTTGTACGTTGGTGATTTGGATCCATCTGTTACTGAAGCTTTGTTGTATGACATCTTCTCTCCAATCGGTTCCGTCACATCTATCCGTGTCTGTCGTGATGCTATTACCAAGACTTCTCTAGGTTATGCTTACGTTAACTTCAACGAACATGAAGCTGGTGCCACTGCCATTGAAAAGTTGAACTACACTCCAATTAAAGGTAGACTTTGTAGAATTATGTGGTCCCAACGTGACCCTGCTCTAAGAAAGAAGGGTAACGGTAATATTTTCATCAAGAACTTGAATGAAGATATTGACAACAAGGCTTTATACGATACCTTCTCTGTCTTTGGTAATATTTTATCTTCTAAGATTGCTACTGACGAAAATGGTCAATCTAAGGGTTTCGGTTTCGTTCATTTCGAAGAAGAAACTGCCGCTAAGGAAGCTATCGATGCTCTTAACGGCATGTTGTTAAACGGTAAAGAAATTTACGTTGCCGCACATTTATCTAGAAAGGAACGTGACTCTCAACTAGAAGAAAGCAGAGCTAACTTCTCTAACATCTATGTTAAGAATATCGACCCAGAAACTACTGACAAAGAATTCGAAGACTTATTCTCCAAGTACGGTGAAACCACTTCCATTGCTTTAGAAAAGACTCCAGAAGGTACTTTGAAGGGTTTCGGTTTCGTCAACTACGTAAACCACGAAGATGCTGCTAAGGCTGTTGATGAATTGAATGATCTTGATTTCAAGGGTCAAAAGTTATACGTTGGTCGTGCTCAAAAGAAGTTCGAACGTATGCAAGCTCTAAAGAAGCAATACGAAGCTACCAGACAAGAAAAGATGGCTAAGTACCAAGGTGTTAACTTATTTGTTAAGAACCTTGATGACTCCATTGATGACGAAAAATTAAAGGAAGAATTCACTCCATTTGGTACTATTACTTCTGCTAAGGTTATGACCACCGAAAATGGTAAATCTAAGGGTTTCGGTTTCGTTTGTTTCTCTAGCCCAGAAGAAGCTACTAAGGCTATTACTGAAAAGAACCAACAAATTGTTGCTGGTAAGCCATTATACGTTGCCATTGCTCAAAGAAAGGATGTTAGACGTAACCAACTAGCTCAACAAATCCAAGCTAGAAACCAAATGAGATACCAACAAGCTACTGCTGCTGCCGCCGCTGCCGCTGCCGGTATTCCAGGTCAATTTATGCCACCAATGTTCTATGGTGTTATGCCACCAAGAGGTGTTCCATTCAATGGTCCAAACCCACAACAAATGAACGGTGTCCCACCACAACAATTCAGAAACGGTCCAATGTACGGTATGCCACCACAAGGTGCTCCACAAGGCGGTTTCCCAAGAAACGGTGGCAACTCCAACCAATTCTACCAACAAAAGCAAAGACAAGCTCTAGGTGAACAATTATACAAGAAGATCTCTGCTAAGACTTCTGACGAAGAAGCTGCTGGTAAGATTACCGGTATGATTCTTGATTTACCACCACAAGAAGTTGTTTCTTTGTTAGAAAACGATGAATTGTTCGAACAACATTTCACTGAAGCTTCTGCTGCTTACGAATCCTTCAAGAAGGAACAACAACAAGCTCCACAAGCTGAAGGTGCTGCTCCAGCTGCTGAACCAGAACAATCCGCTTAAACGGTTTAAAAAAAAAATCATTTATTCTCTTTTAAAAAGTTAATGTTTTTTTTTAGTTTATCATTTTTATGTTCGTTTCTTTTAGGTTAGCTGCTTTCTGCTATCAACCACCCTTCAACCTACTGTTGTCCTATATTGTACAATACAATTCCTTTTTTATTTTATTTGGACACAATTTTTTTTATTATAAATGATCTTTTAAATACAGGATCAAGAAATCAAGGGTAAACTATTTTTTTTTAATGTTTTAATTATTAAAGAAAATTGAACTCTTGTTAGTGATAATAAACTCTAGCCTTCTATTACATTGATTGTCTATTTTTTTGTTGGCGAAATTGGTTTTTTTTATCATTATTAACACCCACCTCCCTCAAACCTCACACGTAAAGAATTTTCTTATTAGGTTTTCTACAAACGTATAAATTACGAAGAAATACTTTTACGTATGTTATTTACAAAGGCTATATTTAACTATTGTTTGTTCCTCTTTCCCATTTTTTTTGATAATGTTGCTCTTTTTTTTGAATGTCAACCAGGATATGTTAGTTTTCCTTTTTTTTTTACCAATATCTATCCTTGACATAAACTGACAACAGGGATAATGAATAAACTTTATTCAGTTAGTCCTTTCCCCCCAACTGTATATTGTATAATTTTAGTATCTATCTGAATATTTTGCCTAATATCATCGTTATTATTTACTCTATTTACGTTTTGGGTCCTCTCCCGTCATTATAGACGAATGAGCTCTCCCTTGATCGTCGTTATCAATTTCCTTCAGTATTGTTTTCTTGTAATCTATAGATCCTTCAATATGTTTTGCTCATCTATCTATGTTTTTTACCTTGTTAACTCCGGTAACAATTTCACGTAGCGTGCGCCAGATTCTTACCAAATATAATACCATTCACAGTATTTTGTTTGGCGAGAGAGAGAGACACACACGCCAAAACAGCCAAAAAACATAAAAAAACATAAAATTTGGTGGGAAAAATAGAGGTAGAAGAAGAAGAAGAAAATTGCATCGCGGGAAAAGTCACCCAATGGATTGTAACAAGCAGAGAGAGAGAGAGAGAGAGAGAGAGAGAGAGACACGCAAACAATTTTTACATAGAAAAGTCTGAAAATGATCCATTATTTTGACAGAATCCCTTCGAACTAGAGTTACATGATAAAGGGAAATGATTTTTTTTAATTGGGAAAAAAAGTTGCTTATTTTATAAAACAGTTAACAAGTTATTTGTAATTGCTACTGTACTTACTGATACTAGGGCTACTATTTACGGAACACAATTGTTTTTTCTTTTCTTTGGGCTAAGTCTTTGCGAGATTAATTTTTTTTAATAGCTGGAAAGACTCACCACTGAGATTTTTTTTTTAAACCTAATATTCTACCTTACTGTCACTAGAAAAGAAAAAGACTTTCAGTTTTAGTAAAAGAAGAATTAGGAGGAGAATAAAAAGAAGTAGTTGGCTATATATTCAAGAGAAGTACATTATCAAAATGTCTTCTAAGAAACAGGCTGGAACTAACCCCTTTGAAGATGATATCGCTTCGTCGCCATTTGGCGATGAGTTTACATTTGAAGGGTTAAATCAAGATCCAATCAGAAATAATAATTTAGATATACATGAATCTCTAGAGAGTTTATCTATAAGTGAAGGTCATAATGGTGATACTCATTCCTTTGAAGCTACTCCACAAATTAATAATAATGGAGAAAATACTGGTACTTTTGATGATATTCAATTGGAAAATGATATGTCTGAACTGACAAATGATGCACAAATGAAGAGAATGAGAATGGGAACCCAAAGGAAAGCCAATGGTAATCCATTAGTTGGTAGAGCAAAGACTTTAAAATGGGCTGAACGAAATTTTATTAATCCTATTGAAGAATTTGTAAGAGGTGATGAAGAGGATGAAGAAGGTGATAATAATCATGCGGATCAATTAAGAACTATTTATTACAATATGCCTTTACCAGATGACATGTTAGATACTGAAGGAAAACCGATTGCTGAATATGCAACAAATAAAATTAGAACCACAAAATATACTCCATTGACATTTTTACCCAAAAATATATTATTTCAATTTACAAATTTTGCAAATATATATTTCTTAGTGTTAAATATCTTAGGTGCATTTCAAATCTTTGGGGTTACAAACCCTGGGTTAAGTGCTGTGCCTTTGGTGGTCATTGTTATCATAACTGCCATTAAAGATGCTATGGAAGATTCCAGACGTACTGTTCTTGATTTAGAAGTGAATAATACAAAGACGCATATTTTATCAGGTGTTCAAAATGATAACATATCAGCAGATAATGTTTCCTTATGGAGAAAATTTAAAAAGGCTAACTCTAGATTACTATTTAGATTTATTCAATATTGTAAGAGTCGTTTCACAGAAGAAGGAAAACGTAAACGTGCTATGCGTAAACGTAATCAATTGAGAGCTCAAAGAGTAGCTCAAACTAGTGGTAATGCGCCTCGTGGTTCTCTAGATTCTATAGGAAGTTATAGATATTCTGCTGATTTAGGACGTGCCTCCTTAGATTATTCAAATGAAGTTGATGGTGCCGTTGCTGCATCAGTAATGGATCGCACTTTACCACCAAGAACAGATTGTAAATTCGAAAAAGGATTTTGGAAAAGTATTTCTGTAGGTGATATCATTCGTATTCATAACAACGACGAAATTCCTGCAGATGTCATTTTATTATCTACTTCCGATGCAGATGGTGCTTGTTACGTCGAAACTAAAAATTTAGATGGTGAAACAAATTTAAAAGTTCGTCAAGCTCTTAAATGTAGTCAAACTGTAAGAAGTTCAAGAGATGTTGCTAGATCCAAATTTTGGGTGGAAAGTGAAGGTCCTCATGCAAACTTATATTCTTACCAAGGTAATGTCAAATGGGTTGACTCCAAGGATGGTGATTTAAAAAACGAACCTGCTTCTATCAATAATATGTTATTACGTGGTTGTACTCTTAGAAATACTAAATGGGCAATGGGTATTGTGGTATTCACTGGTAGTGAAACTAAGATCATGTTAAATGCAGGTGTCACCCCAACTAAAAAATCAAGAATCTCAAGAGAATTAAATTTTTCAGTCTTGATGAATTTCTTATTACTATTTATCATTTGTTTCATTTCAGGTATTATTAATGGTGTCTATTACGATAAACATCCAAGATCTAGAGACTATTTTGAATTTGGTACTGCTGCTGGTAGTGCTGCTACCAATGGGTTTGTATCCTTTTGGGTATCTGTTATTTTGTTTCAATCGTTAGTGCCTATCTCCTTATACATTTCGATCGAAATTATTAAAACAGCTCAAGCCGCGTTCATTTATGGTGATGTTTTGTTATATAATGCCAAACTTGATTATCCATGTACACCAAAATCTTGGAATATTTCAGATGATTTAGGTCAAATAGAGTATATTTTCTCTGATAAGACTGGTACTTTGACACAAAATATCATGGAATTTAAAAAATGCACAGTTAATGGTGTCACATATGGTCGTGCGTATACCGAGGCCCTAGCGGGTTTAAGAAAGAGACAAGGTATTGATGTCGAAGAAGAAGGTCGTATCGAAAGAGAAGGCATATCTAAAGATAGAGATGTGATGATCGATGAATTATCTAGACTCTCTGACAATTCTCAATTCTACCCTGATGAAATTACATTTGTCTCTAAGGAGTTTGTTCAAGATTTAAAAGCGCAAAGTGGTGAGGAACAACAAAAATGTTGTGAACATTTCATGTTAGCTCTAGCATTGTGTCATTCTGTCCTTGTAGAACCAAGTAACAAAGATCCGAACAAATTAGAAATTAAGGCACAATCACCTGATGAAGCAGCTTTAGTTTCTGCAGCAAGAGATATGGGGTTCAGTTTCGTTGGTAAAACTAAGAAGGGGTTAATTATCGAAATCCAAGGTGTTCAAAAGGAGTTTGAAATCTTAAACCTATTGGAGTTTAATTCTACTAGAAAGAGAATGAGTTGTATTGTAAAGATTCCAGCAGCTAATCCAGGTGAAGAACCAAAGGCGCTGTTGATTTGTAAAGGTGCCGATTCTATTATTTATTCTAGATTAAGTGTTGAAAAGGGTGCAAACGATGAAAAGTTATTGGAAAGAACTGCTTTACATTTGGAACAATATGCTACTGAAGGTTTAAGAACTTTATGTATTGCTCAACGTGAATTATCATGGTCTGAATATGAAAGATGGAATGCAAAATACAATGTTGCTGCATCCGCTGTTACTGATAGAGAAAAGAAACTAGATGCAGTTTCTGAAGAAATGGAACGTGATTTAATCCTATTAGGTGGTACTGCCATCGAAGATCGTTTACAAGATGGTGTTCCTGACTCCATTGCTATTCTTGCTGAAGCTGGTATTAAACTATGGGTTCTAACTGGTGATAAAGTTGAAACTGCAATCAATATTGGGTTTTCATGTAATTTATTAAACAACGATATGGAATTATTAGTTATCAAGAGTGGTGGTGAAGATGTTCAAGATCTAGGATCTGAACCCGAAGAAGTGGTTGATAACTTAATCTCTAAATACTTACATGAAAAGTTTGGTCTAAGTGGTACTGAATTAGAATTAGCTGATTCGAAGAATGACCATGACCAACCAAGTGGTAATTTTGCTGTGGTAATTGATGGGGATGCTTTGAAAGTTTCTTTATCTGATGAAGTTGTTAGACGTAAATTTTTGTTGTTATGCAAAAATTGTAGAGCTGTTTTATGTTGTAGAGTTTCTCCTGCACAAAAGGCTTCTGTGGTGAAATTGGTTAAAAATACACTTGATGTTATGACTCTTGCCATTGGTGATGGGTCAAATGATGTTGCTATGATTCAATCTGCAGATGTCGGTGTTGGTATTGCTGGTGAAGAAGGTCGTCAAGCTGTTATGTGTTCTGATTATGCAATTGGTCAATTTAGATATTTAACAAGATTAATTTTGGTTCATGGTAGATGGTCATATAAGAGATTAGCTGAAATGATTCCCGCATTTTTTTATAAGAATGTTATCTTTACAATGGCATTGTTTTGGTATGGTATTTATAACAATTATGATGGTTCATATTTGTTTGAATATACCTATTTAATGTTTTACAATTTAGCATTTACCGCTTTACCAGTTATATTTTTAGGTATACTTGATCAAGATGTTAGTGATACAGTATCATTGGTAGTTCCACAATTATATCGTGTTGGTATATTAAGATTAGAATGGAATCAACGTAAATTTTTATGGTATATGTTTGATGGGTTATATCAATCGTTAATATCATTTTTTTTCCCATATTGTGTCTATAAGAGAACTATGGTTGTTACCCAAAATGGATTAGGCTTAGATCATCGTTACTATGTTGGTATAATGGTTGCATCCATTGCTGTTATTTCATGTAATTTATATGTTTTATTACATCAATACAGATGGGATTGGTTTAGTACCCTATTTATTGGGATATCTTGTATTTCATTATTCTTTTGGACAGGTGTTTGGTCAAGTTCAACAAGATCACATGAATTATTTAAAGGTGCAGCAAGAATATATGGATCGCCATCATTTTGGGGTGTATTTTTCATTGGAGTAATGTTTTGTTTATTACCGAGATTTACATTAGACTGTTATAATGATTTTTTCTATCCAAAGGATATTACAATTATTCGTGAAATGTGGGCACGTGGTGATTATGATCAATACCCTGAAGGTTATGATCCAACTGATCCAAATAGACCAAAAATTAATCAACGTAAAAATATTGGTAATACCGGAATTGTTATGGATAGATATTTTACACATGGTTCAAGTGGATCTCATGAAAGTGTTATGACTGAAGAGATTCCAATGAGAGTAATGAACAATGAACATACCGGTATTCCAACGGGGATTAAAGTTGGTGAAGAAGATGAAGATAAAACAAGACAATCAAGACAATGGAAACGCCCAACAGATACATCACCAAAGGAGACTCAAGATTTATTATTTTCTCCAAACATGGAACAAAATGAAAGTGAGAATCCATTTGCTGATTATAGAACATCATTAGATCAAACAAGACAAGAAATGCTAGATAGTAATGCATTAGATAATAGATATAGTGTTGATCGTGCACGTATATCGTTGGATTTACCTGGTGTTACTAATGCCAACAATTTAATCGATGCCAGAAAGAGTTTCCATAAGAATCGTTAAAAAAGACTAAGATATAGACAAGGCATTTAACCAAGTGTATACATTGTATAATAATAGTAATAATAGTAATTTTAATTTATTCAAAATTATGGGCAAGTTGCAATAACGCGAAAACGCGAAACAATTGAAAAAAACAACAACAACTGCGTTTTTTCAAAAAAAAAAAAGAAATCCTGAATATTAAATCGGAAATAACAAAATGCAGTCCGTGCACAGTGACACATACTCACAAGAGACAGAAAACTGGCAGGTTACTGCCACCACCGCTGCACAGTTTCTGCGTGGCCTGTAACGCAGCGAAAAAAAATTGCAAAGAAAAAAAAAGAAAATTAATTTCCGCGGAGAAATTTAAGGGTGAATTAGGCAGGTAATGGGGGCCCCCGGCTATTAATAGATTTATTCCGGCGGCAACCTCAAACGACTAAACAGAGACAGTGAATGTATATATACATATAGAACACACATATATAATACCAGAAAGAGGCTGGTCTAATATCATACAGTATAGTTTAAAACTGAGAGATAAACGCCCACTATGTAAGTTGTAGACTAATCAAGGACTTGCCCACTTACTATTTGGGGTGGACAGGCCTGTCCTCTGTGTAATTGTACTTAGTGGGAAACCAAGAATTAGGCGGCCTGAAAAAAAAAAAACAAATAGAAAAAAGCAAAATTTGAGACAGGCCTCTCTCTGTCCTGTAGGCAGACCGTCGGGTGGGGGTTGGGAGAACCATCTCCAATATATAATACTTAGGCAGAGAATCCACACGCGCTCTCTCTCCCCCACCCTGTAACTTCGCGGCCGAGCGTGTTGCACACCCAGACAGCCCGTTGACCATTCCCTGACCCGGGCAACAGCTTGAAAAAAAACGTCTCTTCCCGCCGCCAAACAGGCAGAAAAGAAAAAATTTCGTTCAATTTCTGAGTGACCGAATCCACCCCAAGCGACGGCCGGGGAAGGAAAAGAGAAAATGAATTTTGGTTGGCAACAAAACAGAAAAAAAACTGGCCGTCTCTCTCTCTCTCAGTGCGTGTGATTTGGCTGTGCTCGCCGTGGGCCTTTTGGTGGTCAGATAATAATTAATATCTACAATCATAATAATTAATAATAATAGGTAATAATGGCTAATAATAATACTAAGAGGTAATAATGATAGAGGAAATAGTAGTACTACTAGTAGTAAATATACACAATTTTTAAATTTTAATCTTGCTTCTTTGAAGGGTTTTTCTTTCTTTCATTAATCTTTGTAAATACTATATTGATATTTTCAAATCGTTTCATAATATTAGAATAAATTTAGAGTCTGTATTTTATTACTAGAGACTGAATCGTTTTTTAATTTGGTTTAAATCAGATACGGGACAATACACGCACACACACACACAAATCAAATAAAAAAGATAGTAATAATAGATATATCATACAGTTTTCTAGATAAATCAGAAAATAAATTATACAAAATAAAGTTCCTTCTTTTTTTGCTCGTTTTGTTAACTGAAACAACAACATAACAACGTTTACTCTGTTGATTTAATACAAAAATACATATATTTATATATATTTGTTCATTTTTTTTTTTTGAAAAGAGAGAGAAGATATAACCACTACTCGTCTTATTTTTTTTAAAACATCAACAACAGCTGATCTTTCTTTGATTTTGACCCTAACTACATTCGCTTATATCATTTTCAAAAGGCATAGCACAACTTTTCAGTTACTTAGTGTGTGTGATCTGATCTATTAACCCCTCAACTATCTTTTTAAAAAGAATAAAAAAGTATAATACTGATATAGATCAATGCCGAAACCAGGTAAGACTCCATCGTTTTCAAATATAAATATGACTGCTACTAGTTCAATAGTATCAAAGAGTCCCAATAATGAATCCTTAAGTAAATGGAAAATTCCTCATTATTATAAAAGAAATAATACAGGTAGTAATTCAATAGATAATATACCAACAGATAATAGCAATATTTTAGATCATCGAACTCCCTCAAATAACAATTTATCAAATATTTCTGGTATATCAACACCTGATCTTTCACATCAAACAAATTCAACTAATGCAACAGGAAAATTTGTTAAATCACCAAATTTTAAAAATTTAACAAGTCCCAAAAAAATGATGATGGATGAAAACTATAAGAAACAAGTTAGAGCTAAAAAAAATGGTAAACATGGTGTTGTATTCGTAAATTACACTGTACAGGACGATCTTGATAAAGTAAATGATTCAACTGTGAACCAAACACCAATTAGTAATAACAATAATAACGGTCAGGAAAATTCAATTGTACAGGATTATAATAATAGTAATAATGGAATTATACCGCAACCTGCATCTCAAGAATTATCACAAGAATTATTTGAATCAAATTTAATTCCTTCATTACCTCAATCTAAACCCAATTCAAAACAAAAATCTGCTAGAAAGAGAATGTTAAAAATATTTGGTTCTTCTAAAAATAAATTCACTAACAATATGAATGGACTAACTAATTATAATAACAACAATAACAATAACAATATTAAACATTCTTCAATAGAAGGCGCAAAGACAAAAACAATATCATCATCATCATCATCAACAAGAAAATCTGTTTCGAAACCAACTCCTTTAAACAGATCCATTTCAACTCCAAGTTTACCAACAAAGGAAGAAATGGTTATGCCAAGTAATGCTAATACAAGCACGTCATCTACTTCTTCAACAGGTAAGAAAAAATCATACGGATCTTTACTTAAATATGGTAAATTACGTTCAACTACATCCACAGTAAGTCAACAATCAATGATAGATGATGTATCTTTTGATGATATGATGAATGAAATTGTACCAAAATCAAATAACGATAATAATCATATGAACAATAAAAAGGCTCCAAGGAAAAAGAAAAACACTTATTCAAATTTATCCTCATCTTATTTAAATGATCCAGAAATGAATACAAATATTGCCTCTATGCCTGTATTCAATACAAGTATGGATGCAGGGAAAGCAATGGAAATGGCAATGGCAGAACAACAAAAGATGATTGAATTTAATTTTCAAAATAAAATGATGATGAATAACAACCATTCTACACCAAGCTTGAATCAATCACATATCAATAATGACAACAATAATCATAATATTAGTGATAACCACCAACTAAACACAGTTTATTCTTCTACAGCATCCTCACACTTACCGAATAATACAAATAGTGATACAAGTAACGTTTCTCCAAACTCAAATGTGGTGGGACTTGGTATAAGCCCATCTCAATACTCTCCAAATGTTAAACATGAGGATAATGATGCATCTATCGCGTTCAGCAAGATGTTCACTAATAAGAAGAGAGCTAGTACAATGGATTCCATATCTAATGCAACTAATAAGATTAAACCAATTGGACCCAATTCTGGTAACAAAGATATAAACACAGGTTTATCATCCATGAACAATATTTATTCTCCGATGAGAACAGTGTCTCCAGCAAGACAAAGATCTTCCACAAGAGGATCATCCACATATCGTCTCTCTAGAGATGTATCTTCATTGACAAGCGTTCCGGATGGGCCCGAAAACAACTATTTAGATACTCAACAATATAATCAAAAGGTACCTGTTAGTAACAACGGCAGTGTTGGTAGTAACAACAATAACAACAGAGCTGGCCATAGGAAAAAACAAGAATCTATATCCGAAATATATAGACAACAACAATACATGATCAATAATACTGTAGGAACACCATCTACTAACATTCCATTTGTGACACCACCTTATTTTGCATCAAACCTTGCCATTCCTTCATCCAATTCAACATCATCTACCCCAAGCGTTGGCGATATAAGTGCAACAGGTTTGATACATACCCAGAATGGTACCAATATCAACCCAAATATGTATATGAATCGAAATTCATCTACATATTTCGATGTAAATGGTTCTATGGACAACAGCCAGAATAATGCAATGATAGAATTATCTGATATCCAAACACCACTAGAAAGTATTCCTGCGATTGATACAATGACATCCAATACGACTCCAATGCAAGGAACTCCAAGTAATAATATTATTAAACAAAATAAAAATAAAAAATTAGTAAATTCGAATAATAATAACGAACATGAAAATATGCCGTATATGCCTAATGATGCAAGTACTGGTAGTAGCAGTGCTTTAGAGTCACTAATGACCAATTCGTTATCTACTACCACATCACACACATTAAACATGGTTCCTACAAATCCACCAAGTATGGTTTATCAAACACAGAACGGTGAACCGTTTACCCTTGTGAATACTGGTATTGGTTCTAATGATATAAATTTGAACCATTTTGGTGGAGGGAAAGTTCCAATTCCAACAAACCAAACAAATATACCGGCTAAAAATATCCCTGGTGGCGCTAATATGCCTGATGATCAACTAATACAACAGATGTATATGGAATTTGATTTTGAAAATCCAACAGGAATGCTGAATGAACTTCTACGTTCTGGGAATGCTGGTCACCTATCGACTTTGAATACTGCAACATCGATCCAGAGCCCTACTTTGACGGCAGTTGCTGGTCCTGCATCATCATCATCTCCAACGACGATAGTACCAACAAATGGCGGTAATAATGCATTTAACCAACACATGAATGAACATGGAAACAGTGCAACGACAATAATGAGTGGTAACCCTATGGTAGGGACTAATATGATGACCAATAATACAACAACTGATGAAATGGTTCAATTCAATTCAAATACATTTACTATTCCTGATGTATACGACCATAACATGAATGAGTTCAATAATGGACAAACTGTAGTTGACGGAAATAATGATATGACTGCTGCGTTCTTTTTGGATAATTAGGTCTTTATATATATATATATATATATGATTATATATTAATATTAATGAATTTATGCTTGTACG